GAGATATTTTGTCTGCGATCAATCGTCCATGATATCATTTGTCCTGAATATTTTGTCCTGGTATCTTTTGTCATTAGATCATTTATCCTTTTTAAAAAAATAGCAATTTATATGGAAGCATTAGACAATTTATCCTGATACCATTTGTCCGTGAGATATTTTGTCTGAGATAATTTTTCCTGAGATCATTTATCATATCACCATCAAATACTTACTGCTAAAAAATGGTGCACTACATAATAAATTAATCGTATTGTACAGGTATTAAAAACGCGTTGAATAAAAACAGTGATAAATAGATAATATAAAAAGCAGTTTAAAAATTCAACTAACGCGTTGAACTAACGCAATTATAACTCAAACCGATGAAATGTAGGCCCCTACTTTATTGGAATGTGCTTTATAGATATCCGTGCCTGAAAGTGTAACTGGAAATGAGAACAACTGGTATATGCTGGGGGTTTTAGCTTATCCAGAAAATATTCTTTTCATGCAATTTAACAAGTCTCCTGAACAATCATCTTTTAAAACATTTTGTTACGTAAAAACAATATTATCTTTAAAACGTTCACATTTTTTCTGTGCAGCCAAAAACAGTGTTTCTTCTGGACTTTTTTCTCCGGGGGGGGGGGGGGGGGGGGGAAACAACATTTTCCCTGGGGGGGGGGACGGACACTGGTTTTCTGTAGAAATTCCATTTCGTTCGGGGGGGGGGGAGGGGTAGACTTTCTTCAGGGGGCTCGGCTCCCCCAAAGATATGCCTGGAAGAAACACTGGCCAAAATTGTTAAAAAAATTTCAGAGTACTTGAGATAATAGAACGTGTATCGAATGAAGTTTCACTGACGTCAGGGATGTACAAACACGTCGAGCCAACAATCGCCATTGTGTCTTATCAAATGAACGCAAGTCGGCTGGGAGGTTTCGAGTTAACAGTGCTATCCAACTCACACACGGACCTTACCACGGAAAAGGTAGAGGCTATTTAAAGTAGATACCTCACTAGGTTTGTCGCTGCACCTTCATGGTAACATCCCAGTGTTATCCTGGGTGGATTCAATCAAGTCTAATAAGTCAGTAAAATAAAAAAAAACTGATTGAATATACAATCTTAACTCTTAGTGAATTATAAAAATAATAATAAATTGATCTTATTTAAGTCAAAGTAAATTAAAAACACAGACAAAATATCAAATACACGCTAAATCTAGGTAAAACGTCAATTTAAAAAACAACAAAGTTTAAACACACAAAAATTAATATCGAGGTTAATAATATGAGAAAAACATCATTTTAAAACCAAAATAATTTTTTAATATCCTTATTTATTTTGGTTGCTACCAAAAATATAAAAACATTGCAGGTATTCGAGTTTGAAAAATAAATCATGGGATATTGTATATTCTTGTCAATCGGTTAACTATTTAGGTCACTAAATAGTTTCTTGCTTGAAAAAATGCTGACGTTATTTTCATTATTAATCTTACGTAACAACAATTCCCCAATATATTACTAAACTTGATGTAATTAAACACATATCTTTCATTAATTTTGTCATTATTTTTATCCAACAGATAAACGGAAACCTCGACTGCGACTCCATGACGCTGACCCCAGGCGTATCGTCCATACATATACCCGTACAGTCCCTTGAAAGTATTTTCAGCACAGGAGAGCTCATCGAGCAAAACACAAGACTATCGTTTGTTATTCAGCTGTCTGACAAGCTATTCGCAGTTAGGTTTCATTTCTTTTGCACAATTTCCATAACTTGTTTTTCCTAATCATGAAAGTTAATGAAAATAGGCACAAAAAATGAAGTCAAGTTCCCTTTACAAACCTGACGGTCTATAGGGCGAGTGAAGTAGAGTTCACTTGTTTCTTTGACCTCGGCATATGAAGAGATAGTGAGGTCAGCACTATTCCCAACCTAACGTGTGTTAGGTACGCATTTGTGTTGGGTGTACTTACGGGTTAGCAGTCCAGCTCTCTACCGCTAGACCACTCCGTCCCAAAGACAACTAAAAGATCAGTTTTTTTAATAATACAAATCGTATCAAATGTTTCGCAGATTTAATTCATGTTCAACTCCCAGGTTCAAGACCGCTCCAATTCTTTGATAGTAAACAGTCAAATCCTTTCAGTTATAACACCAAAAAAAGAAGCGACAAAACTCCACGACAACGTCACAATAGGATTTACTCACTATAACACCGTAAGTAACTGTGACCGGCCCGACATCATATTTTAATTTATCTTTGAATTTTTAATTGTATAATGTCTGCCGCTTAGACGGCTGGGTGACTTTTTACAAGAAACTTCGCCAAAGTCTTGTTAGTTTATGTTGTGAACGATCTCTCATACTATAAAAGACGTGTTGATAAGGCACCCAGTGTCTAATATTGAGAAGAGAAACATTTCTATTCAAATAGATTTTTTCCTGATGTGAATGATTATCGAAAGGTAAAAGTTGTTAAATTAATTATGTTTTGAATTTTCAATTTGTCTTTATTTTTCAGAAGTTGGTTTCTCCAGTCTGCGTTTTCTGGAAAAAGCATCATGGCGACGATTTTGGGCGTTGGTCGTCAGATGGCTGTAGCCTGGTGCAGACAACTGAACGGATGTCTGTCTGTACATGTAATCACGTGACTAGTTTTGCGTTACTCATGGTGCGAAACGTTGGGTTAATCACTTAATCTTGAACTAATTAGCGTGATGGTGATAGCTTAAGCCATAGAGTTTACTAAAACAATCAGTTTATTTGAGTTCACTGGAGATTGGTTCATCATTTTGTGGTAAAACAAATCAGTGGACTAGAGTACAGTTTATAGTTTATGCTCTATGTTTACTTAAAGTCTTTCAAACTATAACGGTTTACAATCTAGGCATTTTCTATTTCCATTTATTATAATAAATCAACAACTAATTGTGATATTATATCAGACTAACAAGCTGATAAAGAAAGTATAAATAAATGTATAAACGTTTCAGGATGTGTATGGTCAGGAAAGTCTAGCATCGACCTACGCCTCTGATGATGAAGTTTTGTCATACATTTCGTACATCGGATGTGCCATCTCATTCGTAGCTTTGCTTATAACTGTCTTGATCTACACCATGTTAAGGTATAAACTACTTAGCTGTCAACGGTGCATTACATTTGCTAATTGTTGAAAAATAGTTTAGATAATATCTGTATGTAATATTTTAACATTTTGTTCTTGAAACATACCAAACACACCAGAAATAATGAAACTTCAGAATTAATTAATTTATCCTTATATTCCAAACATCTGACTTAATATATTTTAACCTCACCGTCAACTGCGAAAGAAGAATAAACGACATGTTTTTTTTAAATCGTGTAACTGTTAATATTGTACTCCCTATTGGCTTAGCTATAATGTCTACCTAAACAATTGTTACTTTACCGTCATACTACCTCATGACTCCAAACTACGGCCTGAGGGCCGGATGTGGCCCGCAAAGTCCTCTCATCCGGCCCGCGGAGATCTTTTTGTCCAAGGAAAAATCGTTTGTTGGTGATGGCTGAGGAACTTTGCCCAGAAAAATCAAAGACATGCCTGGAAGAAACTGGCCCCCGAACTGAAATTTGATAGTTAATGCGGCCCTCGGACAGAAAAGTTTGGAGACCCCTGCTCTAAACAATCGTTACTTTGCCGTTATACTTCCTATTGACTTAGCTCTAATGTCTACCTAAACAATTGTTACTTTACCGTTATACTTCCTCATGACTTAGCTATAATATATGTCTAACCCGTGTCTTACACTCCAGTCGTCTGAGAAGGGACGAGCCGTCTAAGATACTTTACAACATGTGTTGGGGGCTACTAGCGTTTAATCTATGTTTTCTGTTGGGCCTTGCAATAAATGATGACACGGATGCTGTTTGGTGTAAGGTATGGCTCAGCTGTTTTTCTGTTTGTTCTACATATAATTTAATCATATGCTTACTAGTGACATGGACTTATTGTTTTCATGCTATTAAGAGAAAGAGGGAGAGTAAACAAAAACAAAACCTTAGTTCGATCGATTCAGTAGGTAGAAAGACAGATGAAATGGATGGAGAGATAAATAGATTGATGTAATGTATCGATGTGATGGATGGATGGAAGGATGGACGGACGGACGGATGGATGGAAGGACGGACGGATGAATGGACGAACACGGAGTGACAGGCAAAAATAGTGTTGTTGTTTTGTTTTTTTTAAAAGTAGTAGGCTTTTAAAAAATGTACTTTTAATTTCTTCATTAAGGTTTTGGCTGCAAGCATGCACTATTCGCTGCTAGCTGCAATGTTCTGGATGGCTGTGAATGCCTATTACATGCACTTGTCGCTGATCCGTGTTTTTAACATATACATCGACAATTTTTATCTCAAATGCGCGCTTGCAGGATGGGGTAATATAAATAAATCTATTATGGTTGCATTATAACAGAAAGGTGTAAAAAATTTAATAGTTGTTGTGCTCTTATATTAATGCTCAAAGGTTGGATTTTTTAAGTTAAAAAATTAAAAATATTTATACACGTTAGTTTCTAAATTTTTCAATGAATTCTTACTATACGATACATTTTTCGCCTTTTTTTAGGATCACCATTTATATTTGTAGCTATAACTTTAGCTATAAACAAAACAGACAATTACGGTCTGATATCTAGTCATTTGTAAGTTTGTTTTTGTGTTACATGCAATTTAAGATATTCTTTAAGATGTTCTACTAACTGTTAGTGTTATTCTTCACATTCTACTTCTCAAGGGACATAACAATGTCAACTTTTAACGTATTCTATTTTACTTGTTAATTTAAGACATACATCGTTGACAATACGCTATATTTAATATAAAATAAAATTTATATTTGACATGAAACAGATGTTGGATTAAACATCCTGCCATATACTACGGTTTGATTGCGCCCGTGGCTTTTATTATATTCGTCAATTGCATCGTATTTCTAAAGATTTTAATAATGATAGCAAAGATGTCTACAACAAACTCAAGGTAACCTCCGAATACTACAAATAGAAGAACAATGAAATAGTTTGTAGTTAGCTACATTTTTTTAAACAATAGTTATCATTTGTTTTTTAATGCATACTGGTCGAAAGAAAGACCGATAAAGAAGAAATATTACACAACAAATATAATAATAACGTTCTAAATTATGGTTTTATATTACTAAGAATTGTTTTCTATATTATCTCGAGGAATTATTACACATTTTCAATTCACAGCTGCTATTTGGGTTGATGGTTTTAAATATTTATATCCTTGTTAAATTATACCAGATGGGTAAAATATTATTTTTATGAAAAACGAAATGTTTCTTGAGTGTAGCTATTATTTGCATATTTTAATGTGTTATTTAGATCGAATACACGTAGTAAATGTTTCTATTTTTAGCGCAATATCAAATTTTCGAGCGACGGCGAGCCTGTTTATTCTGTTAGGTCTTACGTGGATATTTGCATTCTGCGCTATTGGGAAATTTAGAATCGTATTCAATTACCTCTTCGCAATTTTCAATTCATTTCAGGTAAAAGCTCTGCTTCGTTGTTTTGAAGTGTCGTTACCACAATTTTAAATACCTAGCATGTTTATTAAAGTATCATTACATCAACGTTTAAATACCTAACCTGTTTAAAGTTACAGCTAAATGTCTATTATGTTTAAAATGTCTTTACAACAATTTAAAATAATTCATACATACATTGATATTTCTATAAAATATAATACAATGTCTATCGATAAATTATCTACCCCTGGTACGTTGTCTCAGAGTTCTTATATTTGCATCGAACGTTATTAAATCCACATAATGTAATGAATATTTTTATTCATCGCGTGTGATAATTCGAAAAGAAATATTTTTTTACATTGAAATAACGAATCCCATTTTATATTGGCTAGAGGTAATCATTTCGTAAACGGCACCTGTCCACAGTGTATTATATTAGTTGACGTTAATCTTTTTAAGAGCATGAAACAAAGAGGATCCGTTAATTAGGCCATACAAAATATACAAACAAATTTTTTCTGACTGCACATTCTCTATCAGGGGCTGTTTATTTTCACATTTTATTGTATGCTGAAACAAGAAGTTGTAATATCTTTGAAGAAGCTGTGCAACATCAAGTCTGATGACTCAAAGGCCCAAAAACCTAAAGGTAATGTGTTAAAAAATATTCTATAAAACGTATTGTAAATACTCAGAATGAGTCTTTAAGAGTCAGCTAAATTTAAATACTATAGCCTAACGTTTTTAGAGTGGATTATTTATGATTTATTATTATTAACAATAGACATATTATTATGATTCTATTTATTAATATTTTTTTAAGCTGGAGAGACTTCAACAATGTCGACCTATCAAGGTAATAAATTATTTTACAATCCACTTTCAAATAAAACACTAATAACGAAGCATTACTTGTAAGCAGCGATTTGTAGAGAAATCTTAAACATTTTGGACTAAAGTGCCCAATATTTTAAAAACTGAGTTTATATATATATTTTTTTAATAGTCACATTTTTAACGTAGAAAAAAAATTATCGAATATATGTCAATGCGCCTATATTTTAATACTTATAATAAAAAGAGTGAGTAACCATACTATTTTCTGAGCGACACACGATTTTTTTTATAGTAATGCATTAACATATATTTATAGACAGCGAAACTATTGTTATAGATAAAAAGACATCTTATGTTCTTCTTTTTAAAGCATTTATAAAATATTGTTGTTTTAAATGATGTTTTTTTTTTCTTATTTCTCATTTACACTATTACAATTTTTACACTATAGGATCTCATAGCTAAAAATACAGACACCAAACGTACGCATTATGCTAACAATTATCACTTTATTTATTTTTTATTTTATTTTACAAAAAATTAAAAATCTAATCGGCCAAATCGCAACTGTCTTGAATTTTCCATTTAACGTTAAATAAAAGTGTACCGCTTGTTTTAAATAATTGTATCTTCAAAATCTTTTTTTGTGGTACTTTGTGTGTGTCGGTTTAACTACAGATCGAATGTGCTTAATATTTTTGTGTTTTCAATAGCTAAAGAATGTATTAAAAAGCCTAAAACTCAAGGAAAATATAAATTGACATGGCATAACTTACTTAAATTACTACAAAGTGTAGTTTTCAGTAAAACAATCACTGAGTTTCTAAACAACCAATTAATATTTGTGTTTTAATCATGCATAAATGTTCTTTATTTTTCTACGGCCACTAAGAAAACTATTTTTATCCGTTAAGTAAAATAAAATGTCAGGTATCATTGTTCTTGGGTCTTAACAGGCGTATAATGTTTTCAAAGTCCTATTAAAATTATTGATTTATTTCTTAATATGAAAAACATTAACGCATTGAAAATTTAACGCATTTTTCATTATCAATGTTACATTATTATTTTACCTTTGAAAATGGATGTGATGATGTGGTCGAAATGTTACCTAGCTTAAGATTACTGATCGTGCTAGTTGGTACAAATGTTAAGTCGGGAAAAGTAAAGGAAGCTAAGAAGTAAATACTATTTGAGGGTATCTATTTTATTAAAGCTTAATATAGTGAATTATTAAAATTTACGTTTTTAAATTAACTCAACATGTTTTGTTAGTCTAATTCTATTCATTTATATTTTTTATTTGAAGAAATTTCAAGAGTATCGACAGATCAAGGTAATTTTAAAACCACCATGAAAAAGTTAAAGTAAAATTGGTCGACTGACCACAGGTTTTCTGGGGAAAATCCCGGTGGGCCCCCGGGAACTATCGTCCTAAAAGTGTTTTGATTTTTAAAAACAATTTGTTGGTATTTCTCCATTTTACTATTCCATATCCTTTATATCAAGGCGTTAAATTCAATTTGAATGCACAATGAAAATTTCAATCTAAAATTCTGAGCCAGTTTTAAAATTTCCCGGGCCCTTTGAACACAACCACTCCACACCTGCCTACATGTAATTTGTGAAACATTTAACTTCATTTGAACTTGAGCTTTTTACCAAAATCTTATTGTGATTACTTATTTACTTTGTTAATTTCTTTAACATCGTCATCTTGCACTGAAAGACAAGAGCATTTTGTTTCTCAATGATAAATTATTGTTTCCCCTTTTTCACAACCGGAATGTGAAGGTAAGGACGAGCGATAGAAATTGAGAATCTTTAATCAAATTAAATGAGGGACAGTTGAACTCGTTTGTGTCCACATTCTTCCTGCTAATGGAGAGGACGTAGAAACAGGCGAACTCTACTTTATCTGCCACAAGTTTAAAAGTATACTCTTCTTTAAATTTTAACACAACACATAGGGCCTACTTTCCTTTTTTCTAATCGTCTATAATATTTATCTCTTACAGATTCAAGACAGCTAGAACCGAAAGTAGTCAGAAAAAATTAAGCAAAATAATAATTTGTGATAATCATTTATAAACATGTGTTCATCCCTGTGAGTGTTGACTCGGTAGCAAATGCATCAAGGTAAAGACAATCTATAAACAATAAGTGTAGAAATATCTTGTGATGTAATTATCTGTAAGTCAAGTTTACCTAAATATTTATAGAAATTGAATTATTTCTAGCATTACATTTTTGTTTGAATAACACTTTTATTATCGCTTATAGAACCAATTTATAGCACACAGATGAGTTCCAATGCCGAGATTAAGAGAACTGTGTATGTAATTGAAAAGTAACATTTTACTTTATAAAACACTTCACTAAAAAGTAGTAAATGCAGCTCCATCATAGATAGTAAGAATTTAGCCGAGCCGCTGGTATTTTTTAGTTATTTTGTTTTTAAATGTTACCAACCGGGTACTACTACCTTGATCTGAATTTATTGCGATAGTTTACTAGAATCAAAATATTGTCACATCGTAACTCATTTCTAATAAAGAATCATTTAATTTCTTTATAGTTTGCTGGCTTATTATAATATTTATTATGTATACTGTATGTATCCTACGAGCTAATAATGAAAAAGAGATATTTGCTGTCGTTTACTTACTTTATTTTTTACAATTGTTTTTTTTTTTCAATCTTTTTTTCGTTTTCAAACACCACAATGTTTTTATTTCCTTTAAGTTATATTTTAAAAACTGAATAATCATTTTCAATATTATAACTGTTAGGATGATCGTTGTGTCTATTTTAGTAAAATTAATTAAGTTATATTTAACATTATAAATTATAAATCATGTGTTAACATTTAATACCATTAATACGGGTATTAATTAATTTTCGTTTTTCTTACCAAAGTAAATTAAGGGTTTAATGTTAATTTTCAATTAGATCTATTCTTGTAATAAAACTATAAAAATATTATAATTGATATAATATATCACACTTTCTTTTAATTTTTATTACAAATTTTGAAATTGAAATAAACATATGTTATTAAAATTGTATTTATTGACTTTGTTTTTACAAAACTTTGTTACATTTACGTAGTATTAAAAAAAACTCGAGTTGTTTTAGCGCTGATTTGGCTACTACAAGTTAGCAAATATGCGAGGAATTCTGCCAGTCAATCGTATTGCTATAAATGTCACAAATACTGAATATCATGCTGTTTAAAGGCAGAGACATATTATGGGGTGTTTCAACAGCAGAGAAGAAGGAAATAGAAAATAATTTACTTGAAAGTGTCACAGATGCATTAATCTATTTAGGCAAACTGTGATTGGAGTTTTGGGGCCATCGTAAATCACAAGGCTTATTAGTGGCTATTTTCTAAATCGTCATTTAGTGTTAAGAATAATGTGGGAAGTTCCTGAACTTCAGACCACCGTAGAATGGATGGAGGAAAAACTGCTTATGGAGCGTACAATCGAACTTTTTTTTTAAAGTAAACTAATATGTTATTATGGTAAACCTAAATATATGCATTTGCAACAACAATGCTATGCTCAAATTATCTTTGATCTGCATGCTGTTTCGTAAAACAATACTAAAGAAGAAAAATCCGGCAAGGAGAAAAAAATTGGCAAACATTCACGACCTGGTGCTCATATTTAGCTTGCCGACTTAGGGGCCAACAGAAAAATACGCAACGAATAATTGCGCTTTTAAAAGCTGTCATGACTTTTTACTTTCTCGTATATACGAAGTATAGAGAAAGTATTGTAATCGTGCAAAAAAAAAAACGAGATTTTTACAAATCTCGACGTTTTACACCTCACTGATACGGAAAAACATAATTTTGCAATCGTGTCCGTATGTCAGTGTGTCTGTGTGTGTTTGTGTGTGTGTGTCTGTGTGTAAACACGATTACTTGAGTACCGTTAGAGCTAGGTTGATGAAATTTCATATATAAGTATTTTATCAAAGTCGTAGATCCGTATCAACTTTTGAGCGATTTCCGATAACCGGAAGTGGTACTTTTTCTACTTTGAATTTTTCAAAAGCTTATAACTTGAGTACTATTTCAGATAGATAAAAGAAATGTTACATGTAAGTAAAAGATCTAATTCTCTACCGTCTGTTAAATTTTGAGTAATTTCCGTTGACCGGAAGTACTAATTTACGCTATTTCCGATTTCTCAAAAAAACGCTTGTAAATTTATAAAGTACTAATAATATTGCGCACTATTATGCACATTTTGTTTTGGCGTTCGCTTCATGCGCAATTCTTTTTTCGATGAGATTCTATTTTTAAAAGTTTAAGTAATTAAAAACCATGTCTATATTCCAAGTTATATAAGAATATTCAAGAAATTTTAGGGGAGATCACTCCCGGTTTATTTTTAAAATAACAGAACTTTACCAGATACACTATGTATACAAGTATAAATAAAAACAAACACAATTTAAAGGTTTAATTTGAATTTTAAAAGTAATGATTAGAAAAATTAGAAAAAGTTAAAGGGCAGCAAAATAAGCCCGATTTCACATGTTGAAAAATTTATAAATAAAATGTATACAGTACCTGCAGATTTTTTTTTAAGAATCTCTCCCTTTGCTAAATGAATAGATAAAAGTGCAAAACAAGCAAATCAATCATTTGAACTTAAGGAGAGCTATTAATTCAACTATGTGTATTTACAAAAATAAAATGATTTTTTTCTCATTTATATTTAAAATGTCTACCTGTACAAATTACAATGTATAGTTTAACAAATACAGAGTACAACCTATATTTCCATCAATGACAAAAATACAGGCGGTGGCTGCGGTACAGCACTTAGCGCTACTTACCACTATATTCTGGATAGCTGTAAACGCGTTCTATATGTATCGAGCATTGGTTCAAGTCTTCTATACAGAAATTCAATGTTTTTACCTCAAGAGCTCACTCGTGGGATGGGGTAACTTCATTTTCTCTACACAACCATACTAATTAAACATTGTATTTTAAACATTTGACAACATAAACAAACTGTTTAAACAATTGTAAAACATGGATTGACACTATTTATTCTAGATTTTTAAACAATATTTCCTATATGTATATTCAGGTCTTTCTCTGATTATAGTTACAGCTACACTTGCCATCAACGACACGGAAAACTATGGGCTCATCTATAACAAAATGTAAAAGTTCAATGTTCTGTAACATCTCAGTCCGTAGATAGTTGCGGGCCTGAATACTACGCCGTTCTGCCTAGCAAGGTTATAACCACTTGTGATTCTTGCTTATTGATTTTCGTAATATGTATTTTCAACACGTATTTTCAATATATATTTTCAATAGATATTTTCACCACATTCTTTCATTGTTTTTAATTTTTAGCTGTTAAATAAAGGCCCCCGCAATGTATTACGCCCTTGTTGGACCAGTCTCTGTAACTTTATTGCTGAACTTCGGCGTGTTTATAACGATCGTAAGACAAATCTCGAAGATGTCCCGGAGAAGGATAACCCTCACCATCGAAAAAGAAAGATGTCTTTAAGTCAATCTAAAGGTGCAGTTAATACGTTCAATTTGTGTCTCCATAACCGATTAAAGATTTAGAGAAAGTAGTTGTTTGGAGTAAGCCAACCAGTTCTACCTATGTAACGATAATACTGACTGAAACTCTAAATGTCTTTGTCAACTTGCTGGCATTTAAAAGTCTCATTGGAGCGCCAGATATTTTCTAATGAATACAATATTTTATTATCTACTAAAATTACTTTTATAAATTTGCCTAATGTATAAATTTTACCCTCTTTTTGATGTTTTTCCCACCTATTGATGTTATTTCTCACAATGTAATTTTCTCCATTTATAAATATTTCCCATTTATGTAAACTTTTCCGCTCCTGCAAATGTTGATGTTTTACTCATCTTTTTGTGTTTTTCATTTTCTGTTTTTTTTTCCCCCTGATTCTGTTTTTCCCCTCCTGTATATTTTTTCCAAACTTCAGGTTCGAGAGTAATGTTCAACGCATGTTAATTGAGAAAAAAAATTATCGTAGGTTAGGCTAGAAATTTCCTGCTGCTAAGATAGTCTACAACTAGATTGATTGATCTAATAAGTGGAGGAGCTTTTTTAATGTGTTGGTTTATTTTTCTTTATTTCGTTTCGTGAAGAATTTTCGGGATGCTTTGAATCTGAAGGTATTGTTGGGCTTAACTTGGATTTTTGCCCTTTTTTCAGCAATCTCGTCACCATATTCAACTCATTACAGGTTACCAGCATACATTATTGTGTAGAGTAGTAATCAATGTACCACTATGCTTTAGACAATAAACTGTGGGCTAGAGGTGTGGTTATTGTCCGATTAAAGCTAGTGGTGTCTGGGTATCTATGTGAGTTTGTCTGTCTGGGAAGAGTGGTGTTTGTAGGATAAGAGACCGGTTGATGGAAGCGCTAGCAATTATATGTTTATAAGTATGCCCCGATTGTATGGTCCAACGCACTAACCAGCCTTTATATTTTGGACATACCAGGGTCTATTCATCTTTATTGTCTACTGCGTATTAAAAAAGGAAGTCGTGGAAGCTTGGCAAAACACCTGCCGTTGGTTATCTGAAGACGACTTCTCTACAGGTAAAGATAATAATAGTGTTAGACATTGGTTTATGCTACCTAATCCACCATTTATAGCTTTAGGTTTGTTTACTTATGGTCTTTTTCTTGTTTAAATGCTGGAATGCTAGGCTTATTTTGTTATGGTCTAAGTTCTTGTTTAAGATTCACTAATCATAGCGGTCACAGAAATTCATTTAATACTTTTTCATAAAGCGTAGTTCTATATTTAATATCAGTTGGAATACTATTTTCTCGAAACTCGTAACAACAGTAGAGTGTTTCGATTTTCTTCAATTTTATTTACCTTTATTTTTTATTTTTGGAAGAGAAAAGATTTATTTAAGCAAAAATGGAATAATTTTATAATTATTTATACTAGTATTATAACAGTCGTAGATGAGTTAATAGCTGAGTTTGTTAGTTAACCCCTTTTCAACAAACGATACATATACTTGGAAGCAGAGTTTCTTTCAGAACGAAATATAATTGATATACAAAATATATTCTTCAACCAGTTGCTGCCCCTACAAGCAAAACCAAAGACCGCCCCTCCCAAAAGTTACAATTCCCCACCCCCCCTCACTGAGAACAATATCTGAAAGAAAAACACTGCTGGGAAGGATATGTATGTGTCACTCCTAATTTTCTAGCATTTTTAGATGTTCAATGAATTGAATTACTTAAATTATATTTAATTGTCGTTCTTCATTATTTAATTAGCTCCAAATACCAAGAATACTATCACCAAAACATCTTCAGGTCAGTGGGACTGTCTTTTAATTTTTAGTTTTAAAATAAACCAACTTTAAAACTTTAATTAGTGCTGTACCACTTCACCGTGTCCTATATCTTACGTTTAGAAGAATGTCTATTAGTTTTAGTAACAATTAGGTTTTCAGTCCATTTTGGCTAATCAGTGCCTGTAGCCTTTATTTTTTTTAGAACTTTCAAAATTAAGTGATCAGTTTAAACAACGTATGAGTATTAATTTCAGTGGATATCATTTCATTAAATAAAGCTTTCCACACAATAAGTTACTTTTTTCTCGCTAAGTAGATCAGTTCTACTTATTGTGTTATGAAATTTAATTTCGTGTATCGTTTTTCACATGTATTTGAATGCATTTTTATTTTTTTCAATGTTTTCAATTAATAAAATGAGTGCGAACCTAATAATAGTTTTATATCATTATATAGTGTATCAAATACTGTTGGTATCTGTCACACTATTGTAAATACAATCAACAATTTCGAATATTCATCATTAGTAATAATGGTAATTAACTAACAACTCATTTATTTTACACAGTAAAATCTCAAATTTCGTTTCCTGTCCATGTCCACGAAGAAGACGAAGGTAGTAAATATATTATATATATATATATATATATATATATATATATATTGCTCTAAGTTATTTACGTATTGGCAAAATACTCATTAGCAAACATCGAGTCGTTTACATACTATAAAACTGAATACACAATTTTTTTATTTTTAATACAATAACATTCAGACTTGTAAGCTGAAAGTCTTCAAGATTTACATTTATGACTGTTGAATTGTCTTAACAAAATTACTTTCTAAAGCAGAATTAACTTAATTATTTTAAGATTGATTAGTAATTATAAAAGATAGGTTTTTATGAGTAGGCCTACACATTTACTTATTTATTAGCAGTTACTGCCGTTTAAATCTACGACGAAAATAACGACAACCAGTAATTTATTGTGCATCATTTTGTTTATAAAGATGTTAAGATGTTGCTTAAACTATAACCAATTAAATTATTTTACTGAATATACTAGTAGTTGATATGATTAAATATTGTGTGTATACAAATTTACTATAAACATTTGTGTATGTGTATTTTTAAATTTGCTTTTAATGAATTAATTATTGTTGAATTAGCTATCAAATTGCGATAAAGAAAGAAAAATATGGTCATATATATATATATATATATTATATATATATATATATATATATATATATATATATATATATATAAAAATATATATATATATATATATATATATATATATATATATATATATATATATATATATATTATATTATATTATATTATATTATATTATATTATATTATATTATATTATATTATATTATATTATATTATATTATATTATATTATATTATATTATATTATATTATATTATATTATATTATATTATATTATATTATATTATATTATATTATATTATATTATATTATATTATATTATATTATATTATATTATATTATATTATATTATATTATATTATATTATATTATATTATATTATATTATATTATATTATATTATATTATATACATGGTGATATGTTTAAATGACAAATGATCTCAGGAAAAATTATCAAAGACAAAATATATCGACTAAATATCTCACGGACATATAATCTTAGGACAAATTATCTCAGGACAAAAGTTACCTGGTCAAAATATATCAGGCAAATTATATAATGGACAAATTATCTCAGACAAAATATTGCAGACTAAATATCTCACAGTAAAATTGTAATAGTAGGCCTATATATAATGATTTTAGTTAATTTGAAACTTTTTTATTGACTGTCAAAATGGTTTAGTTTACTTTGTTTACGCATAATAATTGTGAATAAAAATGAATTTGTTAAACTTAACAAAACATCAAAAGTATTATTAAACTTATCTTTGTTATAGCAATTGATTTTTTTAAAAAGTAAACCTATGTTTAAAAATATATACATAGTGTTAAATTCTCCGATCTGTTAGTTAAAATTTAAATATTGATTATTAAATTATTAAATATTGATTATTGACATAAAAATCTATTTCAAGATAAAATCCGTTGTGATAACTACAACGTCATATAGAAAACAAAACATGTCGTATTTCTCTACTAAATATGCTTTTGGTATGCAACATTACTCAAGATGCTACAAACACTGATAGAAATTGATTATACAACAATACAATCAGTGGCGTAGCTAGGATTTTTGGGCCCCTATGCAAAAATGATCAGTGGGCCCCTTCGTCAGCTTTAAGCTACAATGGAGTTAAACGAAAAAAAAAACTGCTACTTATGATGGAGAATATATAAAAAATATAAATATTTTGTTCATTTTATAATTTATTCGTCCTTATTGTTATTTATACTATATTAGTATGTAGTTTTGTAAAAATGTTAACGGCTTACAGTTAATTTGTTTTTTAAGTAAACAAACACAGTAACATCACAAGGCGGGGACAGAGGTGTGGTCCGCATAGGATGACAACATTTAGGCGTGACACCATGACAAGACAGTGTACAATTTACTGTCAAATCTAAGTTGTACGCAGATAAAATAATAAAGATTAGTGAGAGAGGGTTAACACCCCTCCGAAAATGCAAAATTGTTGGAGACGATGGTGTGACACCTTTAGTAAACACGTAAGATAACATACGATTTATTTAGATCTGTTTTTTTTTTCATGCTTTTAATTTTGTAAATTGATTAATACGTTCATTGAAATCTACTTTAGCTGCTTCTATATCTAAAATATGTATGTGTATGGTGCTCATTAAAACGAATATAGGCGACAGCCGGGGTGCCGGCTGATGCGCCCGTGCAATTTATCAGCTAAATCAAGTAGTAACGCTGACTCGCTGCGCCGGATACCCAATCAACGGACCCTATTTACAAAGATAGCCACTGGGAAACTCTGGGTGGCAAACCACACCGCCTTACTGGCGGGGCGCCGCCCTCAAAAATAAAATAAACATTTAATGGCAGAAACCTCCCCAAAAGTCAAAGTTTCTTTCTGGAAAAAGGAAAAAAAAACTTCCTTTGGCGTATTCTCAACGATTTCCCAAAGTTTCTCGGCGATTGGATGAAAACCAAAAACTTTTTGTGTTAATAGCGCCATACTTATTAAAGATTAATTAGATCAACAAATAAAATGTCATTAAGGGAAAGATATAGTGATATTATTAAGGATGGACCCTGTTTGACCCCCCCTCCCCACTGAATCCCACTACTTGTAAAGTAAGAAAGGACTGGGTGCCTTTTTGGAAAATTAAATTATTTCTACAATAGAAAAGAAACGGAATTTTCATTTTATTTTTAAATTTAATTATATAAAAGAAATATTAAAATTCCAACGTAAAATTTTTTATAATTTTTTAAAGAGGAAAAAGGGCCCCTAAATGCCTTGGGCCCCTATGCCTTGCTTACGCTAGCTTTACAGTGGCTATGCCACTGAATACAATACAGAATATTTTTTTTTAATTTCATTAAGTTTAGAGGTAAACCTAAATGAAAATAAAGAACAATTTTTTTAGCTACTGTTAAAAATCAGATTTCGTACATGCCTACCCTTTCAGACCATCTGGCTAGTGCAACATGTGAAGAAGAATTCACCTTTTTCTGTAACCTTGGCTTATAAAGAGTTAGTGGTCAGTTCGATAACCAGTCAAATTTACTGTCCCTAAAGTGTGTCAGTTACCCATTAGAGTCGAATGGACTCAAAGACATACATTTTACAAAAACTATAAGTCTACACATTTAAAAATAAAATACATGTATTTAAACAACTATTTTCATTAGTATAAAAATAAAGCGTCTTTTAAGCATATTACAATTTACACATTATTTACACAATCTACAAATAAAGCTCTCCATCTGTTTAAATGATAATGTCCTAGATGGATTCCAGTAGAGCTGGTGTTCAAAACGTGAGACAGTTTGCGGTCCTTTCCAGGGGGTGTTCGAAAAAAAAAACAACATCTAAGGCACTTGTTACTTTTGAACAAAAAAACTGTTTCTCGGTTATCATTTTTTTTCCCAGCCATGTGTGAAGGTCCGTATTGTTGGACTCAGTTTGTGTCTAGGATGGCAATATGGTGAAGTCGGTGTGAAGTGTACATGGCGAATTAGTTGTTTCTTTCAGACCTTTTTATCCGGGGGAGGGGGGATGACATAAATTGCCAGAGTATGGACACTGATTGAAGTATATATTTTCTTTATTATTTCACCCCCCCCCCCTAAGAGAGCCTCAAAGAAAGTGTTTAGGGTATATGGTGAATAGGTGGAATCGGCTGCTAACTTTGCCTCTCGTGTGAAAGACAATAACCAGACCACAGCAACAGCGGCCCTCAGGTGAAGTAGGTTGTGACGGTGGACAGAATCTGGGTGTTGCAGGCAGGGCAATGTGTCAGAGACTTGGAGCAACTGCTGCAGGCAAACAGGTGATCGCAGGGCAGGAACAGGTCCCTGACAGTGGTCACGTGACACAGTTTACACATCGTCTGTTGCTCAAGTGTTCGGTTTTCTTTCTCCAGCAAACTCATCTTGATATTTCTTCTCTCTTGGACTTGCTCTTTTGGCAAAACATGTTTCGATATGATATATTATTACCTTGACAGTCTGATCTAAAACAAACTGGGTTCATTTTTACTGACTATGCAGATTTTAAATTTAATTCTATTTTTAAATGAAACAGTAGCAGCTCTATTAAGCCAGAAAAAATGAAAGATACATAATTATTTATAGGCAAACATACATACATATATACATACATTCATATATACATACATTCATATATATATATATATATATATTTATATATATATATATATATATATATATATAGGGGAACTTTCCAAAGAAAATACGTACGTGAACTGGTGGATAGTACAATAGTCTGTTGTGCCATATTTTGAGATGATCTAGTCTCAGGGTCTCTTGTCTGTGCCCCACTTTGACCCACAGGTTGTGGCAAGCTTTGGTTAGCAGTTGTTCTGACTTCCCTGTTGTTGTGTTCCATTACGTTGCCTCTTGCTTGTGTTACTGATGGAGCTGCAGGAAATAAAAACACTCAAACAAATAACTCAAAAACTAAATTTCGAAAGCACGAAACAAATAATTTCTAATGAAAAAGTTAGGACCAGTAGAATAAACCGATATAAGATGTGGCTGACAGACTTGTTTGAGGCGATGCTGCTCCACTGGGCGACTCGTTGGTTCCTCTGCTGTAGATGTTGAGAAATTCACAATGTGGTCTGAACTTTCTGTGTTGGTCATTGATATCATCCCCAGGCTTCCAGGATTTCAAACCTAGGGCACATTGATAACATCGAACACAGTCCGCATAGCCTGGGAAAAAAAGTTCATTTATAAATAATTACACAATACAGTTGAGTTTCTGTTGAATGTTTCTTTAATTTTGTTCACCAAAATTAGAAAAAAGGAATATACAACTGAATTAGATGACACGATATATTTGTAATAAAATTTTAAACCTAGTCTACCCAATGATAATCAAATGACACCAAGGTGGCCAAAATACTCTACCCCATGGTAATCATCAGAAACCTAACATGACCAAAATACTCTACCCCGTGGTAATAATCAGATACCTAACATGACCAAAATACTCTACTCCATGGTAAACATCAGAAACCTAACATGACCAAATTCCTCTATCCCATGGTAACCATCAAAAACCTAACATGACCAAAATACTCTGCCCCATTGTAATAAACTGACACATACCATGACTAAGCCTCAAGTAGTCCATGAAATCTACTAACCGGCATAGAAAAACCCTGCCCTAGCCAGATCCATAGGCTGGTGAATGTAGTTAGCCGGCCAGTTGGTGAAGCTCTGAATTCTCTTCCCCAGCGAGATGTATGCTGGGTACGCAGGGTGGCTGAGGCTGGGTGTAGTCAGCACCCCGGGCAGCCTAGAGGGTAAATCTTGTCGGCTGGGTGAGGGAGTCTCTGCAGACTGACCTACATTTGTTGCCAGGGGCAACATGGTTGAGCAATCCGATCTGTTGTAGACTGCAAGGTAACGGTTTAATTAAAGGTTCATATTTTTATTTTATTTTAAGACATACACAATGACATTATATATATATATATATATATATATATATATATATATATATATATATATATATATATATATATATATATATATATATATATATATCATAGTCAATGAACATTGCTTGCAAAAATGTAAAAATTGTATTTTAAATATCATGAGATAATTTACAAATATATAACATGTAATAACCCGCCTTTCATAGCAGAAGTGTTGAGGCCTAAATAATTGTCCACTCCACTGTGTATCCAAATGTCCATGTGATACCTAGATTGTCCACCGTCTCTGTTGGAGACCAGACTAAACTTGATGACCACAGATCCGCTTGACCCAGCACATGTGCTTGCCGTGTAGATCAGAGCTTTCATCACGTTCTGGTTCTCATTAGCTGTAATCAATGAAGACAGTTTACTTTGGTAGAGTCGATTGTTTTAAGAACTTACCTTGACAGTGTAAGACATGATAATATAAACTAGGCTACATTTCTTTGTTTTGTACACAGTTACTAATGTCACTCTCCTTCTATAGATATTCTTTCTAATTTTGTATTTTCACTGTTAATATTTTGTATATACCTTTTTCTAAATAGTTGAAGAAGAAAATAAGTATTACTGTGTTATACCTTTTTGACGTTCCAGAGCCTCAACTGTCAGGAACCCTGGCTGTGTTTGAGGAAGTTTGAGCATGTAATGGACCTCAGCGAGCTCGCTGTGTGACAGGGTCTGTTGACCGCCGTGGGGGTGGCCGATGACAACCACATGCTTGCAGAGATACTCCTTGACCCTGACAGGCAAATCTTCAGCCAGGCGGGACAGTTCCCCCCTCTTCCTGTCCAGCCAGTGAACGAACTCTTTGTCGTTGGAGTGACATACTAGGTACGACCTGAGCTCCCCAACAGTAGGACTGTGAAAGATGGCCACACACTTTACTTGTTTAACTTGGTTTGGATGCGACGGGTCGTAGAAAAACTCGACCAAGCAATTCCTGGGATCGGTGTCCTTATCCATCAACATCCGGGTTGTTTCGATACATAAAAATGTATCTTTCGAAAATGTCTGTTTTGTTTCTTTCCGCTGAATCTTTAGAAAATACGATAGAACGTCCTCGTGTTTATCTAAAGCATGGCCAGTTCCGAGAAGATAATGAAACTTTTTATCCCCTTTTCCATCTTCCTTTACTGCCAAGCCTCCTAAGCTCATGTACGATACAACGACTCTTACAACCAACATCCCGATTAGTTGAATGAATTTCAAACACGATTTATCTTGTAGCAAGGAAGGCAGTTGTTCCACTTTCAAATTATTCATAGGGTATGATGATGTGTGCAGGGGATCCTTGTCACATGATGCGTCTTCACTGCTTCCATTTGCTAGTTGCTTTTGCGATTGCTTCATATCAATCTCAGGTGTTAGATATTCTTTGTCAACTAAAATAAAAATAGCAGAAATTCAATACTTCATATATATATATATACATATATATATATATATATATATATATATATATATATATATATATATATATATATATAACGTATATTTTTATCATTTGTTTTGGCTTATAAAAAAATACAAATCTCATGTCGCTTATCAAATCCAAAACAAAAAAGGCATCGAATATGATACAAAGATGATTACACAGTGGTCCAATGTCATCGCCAGACTTAAGAAATTCATCAGACGCCGCATGTTCCTGAGTTCCAGTGTCAAATGACGCACTTAACAAGCTGCTCTCGTCACTGTGGCCCGTGTGGTAGCCAGATGAGTAGCCAGATGAGTAGCCCGATGACCTGCTCTGGCTGTAGCTCGTCAGAGAGGCTATCGATGTAAGCAGATGGTTAAATATTATGTGCTGGATATTCATTGACAAGATAGTGACTTTAAATATTTATTTTTGATGTTTATATAGTTATATTAATTTAATAACATTGTTGTGGGTAAGTTAAATGTAACTACTTAAAAGTATCATCATCTTTTCCCGTTAGTGCCCAATATACATAGGGCAGATGAAGTAGAGTTCATCTGTTTCAGTTACCTTGGCATATGAATAGTGTGGTCAGTACTATGCTCAGCCGCCTTAATTTTCCTAACGCGTGTTAGGTACCCATTAGAGCTGGGTACTCAAGGACGTTGTACTGAGTTAAACCCGGATTCGAACTAGAGACTTTTCGGTTAGCTGTCTAGCGCCCTAACTCTGTAGAAGCATTTAATAACTGATAAAAAAATATCTTGACTTACAGGCTTGAGTGTTATAATTATACGCTGTCAAGGGTAAATTTGGTTCGGTTATATTCGAAAATCCCGTTTCCTGTACATCGGCGGGAACCTGGCGGTCAGAAACTTCTGGAACATCAGTTCCACTTCCGGTGAGATTCGATTGGCTGCTACTTTGTTCAGTAGACTTGTACACGCAGTCTCTGTCGTGATACCTGTCTTGTCCTGGGTCCGACGTGACGTCACTGATCCTCCATGATTTAGCACACCCGTCACACACGATGACGTCATCCCGTGTCAGATACCTGAACCCGGCGTTGGAGAGTTCCAGAAAACTTGTGCCGCCCAGGTCGTCCCTGTTGATGACGGGACGAAAGCTGGCAGAGCGGGTGAGGAGAGACACGGGGAAACAGAGAATGGGCTGGTGGAGGTAGAAACTTTCCTCCAAAAGAAAATTTGATTTTGTGTATGTTTTGTCGTAATCACCGTTATCCAATATAAAAGAAGTTTTACAATCACATTCAAATTTTGAAATCGCGTCTGTTAAGTAAGTTTCCTGTACTTTTTGGTTAGGAAAACTGCTGCAGAAACTAATTTCATTTAAGGTATGCAAACAATTTGTCTTTGGTTTTAAACATAAAATATAAGCACAACACATCACCAGTAAATATATTACTAGTGCGATGTAATACATGTATTTTAGCTGAAGTTTGTTCTTGTATAACTTGTTCAAGTAAGTAGCTTCCAAGTTTTCAGAAGTTATAGATCTAAATTTCAAAGTTTCTAGTGTATACAAGTTAATTAACATCTCTTTTTGGTGGCTGCAATGCACTGTTGTGAAAATCTTGAACGTTCTTATCACTTCATGCCCAACACTGCTTGCATCCGTTCCCTTCGATATGTTACGCTGGACACACAATTTATACGAACTATCCCGGTTATTATTTACATAAATATTATCAGCTAAAGAGCCTCGAACCCAATGGCATAGAAGTTCCTCCGTAGTCATAGGTGCATTAAAAGTTGTTTTTATGACAAAGCATGAAATTAGCATATAGATTAGGTAAATTGCAAAAACGAAACGTAACTGAATGATTCTATAGCCGTACATTTTTATAATAAAAAATAAATAAAACTTTTTAATATAGTTTTTAAAGAATAACTAATCAAAGATTACTAACGTAAATTATATTTTAATAGTTTGTTACGTCGGCTAGAATACCTTGGATAAAATACGATAAATACACACTTTAGTACATTTATGTGAACATGATATCAGTGCACAGGGATATCAAATGTCTTCAATATCAGTGCATCTCTCAACTGACGTTTTTGTAAAAAAATAAACTGTTACAATGTTATATTTGTCATGTGTAGTAACATTAATTAATAACAAAACACTAATATTGTGTTTAGAATCAATCTTGCTAATAATACGTTGCTTATAGCGTTTTTCAATAGATTCCAATTTAGTGAGATGCGATGCAGTTACAATTTCATTCTGATACATGTCAAACGATTGATTAGCTTTGTATATTGTAGTTGTCAATTCGTTTACTTGATCAAAAAAGACGGTTTAATTAAGATCTCGAATAATGCATTAGAAATTAAATCGTCCCACACACATAAATTATATATGTAACTATCAGGTGTGGCATCCATCCTTTCTGCGATCAATGGTTTATTATTTCGGTAATGTTTTAAATAGCTAATTGCTACTTTGCTTTTCAATGCAAATACTTTGTTAAAAATGAAAATCCTACTGTCTTCCAATATAAAATATGAAATTTCTGTTCAATAATTTTTACGATAAAATGTTTTTCAGAGAATGTTACTACTTGAGCTGTTATATTTTGATTTTGATTTTAAACTATATTTCTGTCCCTTCGTTTTTGTTAAACTGTAAAAAAGAAAAAGTAGATTAGTCTCTTTTTATATTCGATATTATTCCCGTAATCTATAAATTATTCATTGTTGTGGTAAGAAAAATATTTCAAGAGAAGACAATTGGAAAAAGAAAAAGGATAAGATGGGCCTAATAAATTGTATAAAATCTCGATTTAACCGGCCCTGTGATTTATATGCTGGGACCCAGAGGCTTAGCGAGGGGGGGGTGCGGACCGGGTGACACTATTTAGGAGGGTGACACCAAGGCAAAAAATAGCAAAATATATAGAGAAAAATGATAATTCCACTTTATCAAGTGATTAATTCGAGTGTTAAATAGTGTTTTAAGATGTGCAAATCGAAAGTTTGAGGGGGGGGGGGGGGGGGGGTTAATCGAAAGTTTGAGGGGGGGGGGGGGGTGCAAATCGAAAGTTTGAGGGGGGGGTGCAAATCGAAAGTTTGAGGGGTGGGTGTAAATCGAAAATTGAAAGTTTGTCCCCGGGAAGGGTCGCTAAGCCTCTGGGGGTGACACCATTAAGTGCCCCACGGGGTGACACCCGACCTCGCTACGCCACTGCTGGGACCATGAGTTTTAGAATGCTTAAAACTAGATTCTTATAAAGATTATTGTAAAATATCTACTCATCGCCGACCCTAAAAAATGTAGCCAGAATGTCCGATGGAGGAAAGTGCAATATAAATTATGTGAGCGGGTGAATGGATTATTTATTTTGTATTAATTTATTTGGTGCGAATCTGTGAGTGCATGGTGGTCCAATGGGGAACGGCCACGGGGTCCCCCTTCCGCCCGAAGCGGTCAGTATAAATTGACCGCTCGGATGATTTTCTTCCTTTTTGACCCGCGGCGAGATGTAGGTCGGGTCAGGTTTCTGTGTGGGCGCGTGGAGCACCTCACGCGTGGAGGTATTTGATTTTATTTTACTTTTATATGAGTGATTTGTATGAATGCGACTGCCGATGTTTCTCGTTTTCTTTCATTTTCGTCTAAAACGAGATAGTGAGCATCGGCATGTCTGGTATGCACGTGGTGTGTTATTTTGAAAGATTTAAAATGTATTTTTGATGTTTTCTAAACCCTTGGCGTGTGTTTTCGGACCACGTGGTTTAGGTCAGTGTGTTTAGGAATGTTTCCTAAACTGGTGCGAATGCGTGTGTGCATTTACTTGTTTTACTTTATTCTGATGTGTTGTTTTTGTGGGTTCTCCACGATGACTAGGATTGGCTTAGTCAATAGTCGATTGTTTTAGACAGTAATTAGATTAGTATATTTTAGTTGCCTCGAGTTTTAGGTTGTTTAAAATTAATGTGTGTGCTGTTTCGTGCAACGTCATGTTGAGTATCTCTTGCTTTGTGTCTGCCTTCATTGGGGCCTTAGCGGAGTGTGTTAACTTCAGTGTTATCAATGTGGATGTTGTTTAGGTAGACCAATGGCTTCGGGCTGCTCCTTGTGTAGGAAAGATTGGTTCTACAATGAATTTGTTTACACGTTATTTTTAAGTTGCTAGTTCTTGGTTAGACAGTGTTTAGTTGTGTTTATGAGAATTGCTTTTAGAATTGTAATAGTAGGGAGTTTTACTCGAGGCTTTAGCTAGATAGTAGTAGTAGGTAGTATTTTAGACATGTATATATATTGATGTATATATTTCCATGCATTTTTCTTATGTTTTCCTTTTCTTTTTCTCTTCCCCCCCCCCCCCCCTTTCCAGTGAGGTTGCTTGTGCGACTTGGCTGGGTGTTTTGTTTGATGTAAAAAGTTTGTTTTGTTTGGTTCTGTTTTGTTTGGTTTTGTTTGGTTCTGTTTTGTTGCACATAGGTTTGTCCTGTTGTGTTGGATATAAATTGTTTTGTCTGTTTTGTGTCAGCAGTTTTTATCTATTCTTTTTTTGTGATTTTTCATTGGTTCCATATTTTTGGAAAATAAATTTTATTAATTGTTAAAGATTTTTTTGTTTTTATTATTTAGACTAAGGTTAAGTTATTAACCAGTCTGGGTTTAGCCGGGCTTGCACTGACCGGACGGTAATAGATAAGCCTAGAAGGGTAGATTTTAGGTATCCCCCCCCCCCCCCCCCGCTAGCAGGGCTTACAATTATAAAGAATATTAAGGAAGAAAAATTTGAAGAATATCCTATGTAAGGACAGATATTAAAATCTATTAATTGGTAAGCGATTGTAAAAGGTAAACAGTAAGCTACCTATAATAGGTATTCTTTAAAAATTTATTCCAAATGTAAACCTGTTAAATAACAATAAACTAATAAAATAAATAAACCTACCTGCTTTGAAAAAGAATTGCATAATTCATATATGGAGTAGGCTATACATTAACAATACAGCCAACCCGCCTAATTGATTTTTAAACACCAAAAATGATTTAACAATCTAGAGTTCTATTCAAAACTAAAATAAAGAAAAAACGTTGAGGCATAGGCCCTATTATTGATTTTTTTCTTTTTAAATTTTCTTTTTTTGGCGCGGGAGTTGTCAACCAATCGTGTTGTATGTTATAAAAGACATATGGGGAAAACCTAGAGTTCCTTCATTCGAAGAAATCCCTGTTTTACGTCCTAAAGACTTGACTAACAATAGTGGGGGAAGGAAATAGGTCAATTTTTTTTTATATTTAATATTTTGAAATAGTAGCAACACTAGCTCGTCGTCCCCAACAATCCCTGTCTACCCCCCTGAGCGTGCATATACGTGTTTCGTCGTTTACCCAAAATTGTATTCTAATCTCAATCTTAATAGACTACATTATAAAAAGAATAAATTAAGTTTTTACTAAAATTGTCACCATAGGCCAGTAGCTAGCTGTGCAACCTAAGTAAGTATTGAGTGGGCGAAACTTAACTGACTATTAAAAATGCACAATACGGTCAGTGTTTCTTCCAGACTTTTTTCTCCGGGGGGGCACTTGAAATTTTCGGGGGGGGGGGGGGGCGGTAGACTTTCTTCGGGGGGGCGGACACTGTTAAAAGTATATATTTTCTATATAAATTATATAAATTTCATTTCGTTCGGGGGGGGGCGGTAAAAATTTTTCGGGGGGGTGGCTTGGCCCCCCCGAAGAGATGCCTGGAAGAAACTCTGAATACTGTCACTGAGATTTAGATCTATCAACTATGCAAACCTTTCTCAGTTTATTTTGCATCGGAATACATACTTGTTATTTTTTTTTTCAGAAAACAACCAGAATGCAAATTACTTGAATGTTTCTTCTTGACACCAGTTGGACTTAGAAATCTACACCGATTCCATTATTTAGAACGGTATCGTTTGTAAACAATGGTTGCTTTATTTAAAGTTTAAAGACACATTCAAATTGGATATTTTTTTATTAACGTATAATTTGGATTTGCATCTGTTACCGTAATTGTAAATATTATTTTTAACTTGATAATGATAACCGATGAATTTTGTTTGTCCGTTAATACTTAATACGGGTTCGTGGTATCCATATTTGATTATAAATGTTATCGGGAATTCCCAATTAGGTATTTACCAAAAATACAAATCCAATTTTTCTTACAAAACTCAAACTTGGAATTTTTAGTTATAGAAAGGTATAGGGCCTACCATACAAATCAACGAACATGGTCTACAAAATTATAGTTAACTATTATTGGTAGAATCCGACCAAATTTCATTTGCTTTCGCACATCTTTGCTTTGACAGTAGTTTTGTAAAAAAAAAAAAAAAAAAAAAACTAGATCTACATCGCAGAGGCAGAACTAGAAAACATATATATATATATATTATATATATATATATATATATATATATATATATATATATATATATATATATATATATATATATATATATATCAGAGGCGTAGCGAGGGGGAGGGGGCGGGGGGACATATGTCCCCGTGCGCCGACCTTAGGGGGGGGGTGCGCCAAAATGGGTTGGAAAAACAAATTGAAAGTTAAATCAAAAGTTCGAGGGGGGGGGGTGCAATTCGAAACTTGTCCCCAGGCGCCGGGAAGGGTCGCTATGCCTCGGATATATATATATATATATATATATATATATATATATATATATATATATATATATATATATATATATATATATATATATTAGTAGACTGCAATACCAAATTTTAAATTAGTTATTTAAACCATGTTCTTATTTAGTAATTAGTTTAAGAGATATACTCTATGTATTTTCAGCCTGATATAATCATATAATCTTGTTTTTAAAAAAAACCATGCTTTATCTCATTTATACCCGCCGCAAAATTGTGAAAAGCGTAACGTCGTATCTGGCTAACCTGTCAAAATTATTTAAACACAGAGGTTTCATATGTGTTATGGTTTCCCATGTTTGTTTTATTTATATTTATTTTTTTCATTTATATTAATAATTGTGAATAAATTCCTTTTATTTAGTATGACTTATGTTAATAATAATTAAGAGAAGAAATTGCTATTTAATTTGCTTTGTAAAACATTATTTTATTGAGCTTTTTGGGCTTGTGCCAACTTACCCCAGCATGGGGCAAGAAGTAACAACAGTTGACCGGAGCACATTTTTCATCTAGATATCAAAAAAATAAAAATATTAATTTTATTTTACTTGTTCAATTTGTTGTTTTAATGTATGTTCCGCATCTAGTTCAGTCCTATTAGTTTTGATTCACTCTGAAGTGGTCATATATAACAGACAAAATTGTGACTTTTTGCCCCACCTTATATAGGTCTACTTTCATAAGTTTTTGCTCTTCTGTAAGTAGTCTAATAGTTGGGCCTATAAACATCATTAAATTTTTGTATAGGTTCACATAAAACTCATTTAAATAGTCAAATGGAGACCCAAAAACTCCCAAAATACCTACATAGTCAAATGGGGGCCAGCAACACAATTAACTTAAAATAGTTGAATGAGAAACCCATAAAGCTACTTTAAATAATCAAATAGGGGGCCCATAACATTCTTTTTAACAGTCAAACGGGTCTAATATTAGTAGATTATAGGCCTAGATAGCCGGTTTGTTTATCTGTACTATCATTTTAAAAACAAGTTAATGTTAAATGGGCAATTAAATGTCTAGTTAATTACATTCACAAGAAAAATAAATACAAGAACAAATAAGTTAAAGAAAAGAATTAACAATATCATTTTAATATTTTAATGAATTTGTTCTAATTTTTCTTCTATTGGAATGGTTGGAAGAAAAAATTAGCATAACTTTCATACACAATCTTAATTTTAATGCACAATTCGACTATAAATTTCCTCTTAAATGATGTGATTCTTTACTATATTTAAATTTCTAGACACAAAAATAATACATTTTTTTACAAAAATACAGTATTATAAATTTAGATGGGTAACTAAAATGTGTTTTTATGAGAAATTACTTATTTGTGTAACACCTACATTTATGGTCACATTATGATTCGTGACTAATTTAAGATTTATAAAACTTCAATAATACTATAGTGAACAGTAGTTATAACTTAACTTTTATGGTAACAAATTTTATCTTGGTTTGTGTATGAGTTGGGAGAGAATGGAACTTATGCATAAAATGTTTTAACTCAGTCCTTTCAGATGAATAGCTTATATCTATGTTCCTTCCCAAGAGAATTATAAAAGGGTATATTTATTTGAAAAGAGTAAAAGACACATACAAATAGCAAACCTATGTCACATGAATTAAATTAGTAATGCTTTACACAATTAATAACGACAAATTTATAATTTATTTTGCACCAATAAAAATATTAACTTTCTAAAAATTAATTTAAATTTAAAAACAACTATGTAAAGTATGTTGTTACTGTTGCTAGGATTTGACCCTGACATACAGGACATACATTCAAATTTTTAGAACAATCTGTACATACACACAGATCACCACATGGCAACAGAAGTTCTTTTACAGCTTTAACATGGCAGACACAACACTGGAATCGTTTTTGTAGGACTCGGTTTTCATGGCCCAGTACAGAAACTTTAACATCTTTCAGTGACTTAGCTAAATGATATGAAGAATTGTTTTAAAAGAAAATTTTACTTGAAATATAAATTGTTAGTAAGTATAAGATGTTTACTTAAGTCAATCAGTAGATAAAGTGGGTCCTAAATGTTTACTTGTGGGTATTGTTTCAGTAAATTCTAAGGTATAAACCTATTCTTTTATTTAAAATACTTGTCAGTCAAGTATGTAACAGATTTTTTTAGGAAACAGTTTATTTTACTTAAATCTGGCTTCAGATATAGATTGACAAAGCAAAGCAAAAACAATGGTTGATTCATGCTTTAGGCCTACTATGCTTTATGTAGAAAACCAAACAGTATAGTCTACAGCCTACATTGCTCAAGTGAAAATCAGGGCTCAAAATTCAATCTTTATAGAAATATAATTGTGTCCACTACTTTAATTATCTTAACAGCATATGATTTAGTGTAATCTAAATTTACAACAAAACATTTTTAAAAACCTCACTAACTGTGGTTTATGTTGTTTCCTTGCTACTGCCTTCTTAACACTAGATGAGTAATTTAAAAAGTAAAACTGTGCACTTACTTGCACTCACTATACTAGGCATACATCCTGCCATTCCTGCTGCGCTCTCTGTTGCTTCAGTTGATCCATCTGGTAGATATTTAGATTTTTCCTGCGTAGTTTCACTTGTCAAATTATTATTTGCACATCTGTTGCCTGCATAAAATAATGCGTGTGTAAACAATGTCATTTAGAGTTGGTAGATATGTACAGAAATGTAGGAATAAAGGCCTAATGCAGAATAATTTTTTTTATTTTTTTCAGCTTTGTGAATATAAATTTTTGTGAAAAGGCTTGTACTACATAATAGATCTATAAACCAAAAAAAAAATTATTAGACAACAATTTTTATACAAACTATTTTGTTGTAAGTTATAAAATTATGCTACGGTCTACATGTGAAGCATATTCCATGTCAAACAGACCCATAGCTTTAGATATTAGTATTGTTAACAATACATTTAATAAGCATGTTTGTAATTTGTGAGCCATGTTTCTTTCAAACTTTTTTTTCAGATGGGGGTGGGGGTGTGAAAAATTCTTGGTAGTTGGATGTGGTATATAAATTCTATATCATATGGGGTTAAGGTGACAGATGTGCTATAGAGATGCCTGAAAGAAACTCTTTGTATTTCTCTAAATGTAGACTGTTATGCATTATGTTGTTGTGACTTTTGCTCATTAGTTCCAGTAAATAGACCCACTACATTTGTATTGATAGCCAATATAATTTACATATATCCTCTGAAAATAGGAACTTGATTAAATTTTGGCTGTGAAAGGGGAGTAAACCACAAAATACTTCAAAGATCAATACCAAATAAAAAAAACATTAACAAATCAATAACCAAAAAATATTAACAAACAACCACAAAACATGAACAAATTAAATATGAAACAGCCAGTTAGAAAGCCAATGTATGAAAACCCCATTCTAAATCCTGTAAATTATTTTAAAAAATAGATTACCTTCACTGTGAGTGTCAGCTAAATTTTCCTGTAGTGAAAAAGCTGCCAGGCTTTGACTAACTACTTGCTCTAGAACTTTCTGACTAGTCTCTGGCTCTGAAAAAGGCTCAGTGCTTGACCCATTCATTCTTAGTGGCTCATTGGAAGAGACATTTATTCTCAGCAGCTCATTGGAAGAGCCGTTCATTCTCAGTGGCTCAGCAGCAGGGCCATAACACTCTAGAGGTAAAAAAGTGTTTCCTTCTGTGTCCCCAGTTTGAAGCCCATGTAACGTTGAAGATGGCAGATTTTCTCTAACTACTGGTTGACCTGTGCAGTTGTCAGTTTTCACAAACATTTTAAAACAAGAGAAAACATTAGGAGAATATTAACTTGAAGCCACAATATACTTTAGATTATTCGTCTGTTGTATTATATAGGCTAATATTGTATACTATAACACTGAAGCCAAGTTATACCTTACGTTGTTGGTCAGTTGTATAAAATCGATTAATATAGTATACTCAGTACACTCAATTTTATGTTTTTCTTCAATTAAATATTCTATTGTTAATTCATACAAACCAGAAAATTAGCATGAAGAAAATGTATCAAGTGACCGCATTATTTAGATTTAAATTTAAAACTTGTTTTCTGCACTAACATTTTTAATATAATGAAGTTTAGTAACAGAAAAAATGTTACCTATATTTCTGCTAGATTCTGTTAAAGCATTTCTCATCTGTAACTGGAGCAGTGGACATGATGGTTTGTGCTTATGATGCTGTTCAATAATGTTATCTCCCTCTTTCCATGACTTCAAACCAACTCCACATTGGAAGCATCGCACACAATCATCATATCCTGTTATTTTGTCAGTAGCATACATTAAATATAAACTTATATTACTTGCAACAGATGTAGTCATTGTATTATATTATGTATGAAAAGTAAGGAGATTATTGAGAGTATTTTAATTGGAATTTTAAACATTGTGGTAGATTCACACTGAAAATTTCCAGGTTACTAAAGCAAGTTATTAATTTTTCTTAAAAAATTAAATATCTAGACACTTGAATGATAATTCACATATTTATATATTCTTACTAATTAAAATAACTATGAATTTTTTAAATTTTTATCTAGTAATACTTCCAATAGGCCACATAAATCTACCTAAAAGGATTTTTATAATATAGCCTTTAAGTCATGTTTATTGTAGGGATTGAACATAGTATGTTCAGACATTACCAGCATAAAAAAATCCTGCAGCAACCAGATCATTTACACTCAGGATGTGACCAAATAGCCAGTTGGCGAAACTTTCAAAACGTTTTTGAAATGCAGCGTAGACAGGATAAGATGAAATACCCAAGGCTACTGAAGTATTTACTGCTGCAGGTTGCCTGGCAACACCTAGTGGCACCAGATGTCCTAATGGCTCCTGATCCCTCTCAGTTAAAGATCCTCCATGTTGTTTAGGCCTGTCATTTTGTGTGCTCACCTCTGAAGTTAGAGAAACATGTGCCAGTAACAAATAACCTGATATAAATACTATTGTCACAACTATTTTAAACATTCTTCAACTATTAAAAGATAGATGTGATATTAGTTTTGAAAGTTGGTCAATTTAAAATATTAATATATCAAACTAAACAATGTGAGGCAATTATTGTACAAAGATTTTGAATATTGTAAAATAGGGAATTTTTACAATCATTTACTGCTTTTTTTTAAGGTAAAGAGTTTTAGACACAAAGGTTTCATCATAATCTTTTCACATTTATACCCAAAATACATGGGGCAGATGAAGTAGAGTTCATCTGTTTCAATACCAGGGGATAATGTGGTTAGCACTATGCCCAGCTGTCTTTGTTTCCTGATTTAGGTACCCATCAGAGCTGGGTGGACTCAGGTATTTTCTATTGGTTTGAACCCAAAAGATTTGATACCTTGTAAAGTAACAACTCTTTGACAATAATTGCATAAAGATTGGCTCCCTTGTATAGGGAAGAATTTTAGACACATTTACTGCACAAAGGTTCAGTACCTTGTAAGGTGGAGACACCCAATCCAGAACTTTTGTCCACGCCGTTGTGTATCCAGATGGTCAGTCCTGCAGCTGAGGGACCTTCAGTGTTGTGGAATGTAATGACAGGTGCACCGGATGAGCCTCGACAGGTGTCAGCAGTGTATATGATAGCATTGCGCTTCTCCCCATCAGTTACTTATGTAGTACATTTACAAATACAAAAATAAAGTATCAGTTAGTGTAGAAACATTGAAATTAACTAGGAAAATAAAAATATTTTTATAAAGGTGCATAAACCTAATTTTACATAAGAAGTAAATGGAATTATTAGCATAGAAGTGAGGGGTTGCAGGTAGGAACTCAATAAGTCTCACATTTTTAACATAGCTATAATGAGAAAACATCAGTGCTTGTGGTTTGAAACAAGGGTCCAAGATAAGTTATATCCAATGGCCTCACTCATACCTAATTTGTCACTGGTTATGGCCCCTTATAGCATCTGTATATAACCCTAGGTTACAGCCCCTTATCGTAGCCCCTGATTTTATTGTTCAAGCCTTTTACTACAGTTTTGGTTTGTATGCATGTTCATGACAAAATTATTTACCTCGATAAAAAGACTGAGCTTCCAATAGCTGGTGCCTTACATTCCCTCCATCAGTGAGTTTTTTTATGATGTATGTCTTGTAACCAGCATCTCCATAGGATAACAACTTTCCCTTACCATGTGGATGACTGATGATGAAAACTTTTCTAGTCAGTAAATCTTTCAGCCTTGCAGGCAATCTTCCCATTTCTTCAGACAACTCTAGTTTAATTTTGTTTAAATAAATTGCTAAATTTAAATTGCTAGAGCGGCAAACGAGTATAGATTTAAAGTTGCCTGCTACTTTGCTATGAAGAACACTCTCTGCTTGTATTATTTGAGAGTTAATTATATTGGAATTAATGAAAGAAAATTCTACTGTTATACTTTTTCCTTGGCTATTAACCAAGTGTCTGTTAGTTAGAATAAAAATCTGGATACCATGTATCCCATCTTCAATCACTTGACTCACAAACCCTGTCCCATATTTCTTTGTCTTGCAGCTAGTACTAGATCTATTAAAGATAGCCACTTTGACAGTCAGTTCTCCTAACAATTTTAAGAGTTTAAGCAGGTTTTCATTTCTGAAGTTAGCAGGTATGTTTTGAAGAGTCAGTTGATCTAGATCATAAAACTGTTGATGGCCAGGATTTTTCATGCAATCTTTACCATCATCATCTTCACATTCACATTCAAACTGATCAACATCTGAAAATGGCAAGTTATTCTTATTTCATTCTGTTTGCAGCTACCTGTTTTTATAGTGGCTTTGCTAATTATTTACTAATGTCCTTTACGGAATGATTGAGAAAAGGTAAAGAATTGAATATGAATATTATTTTTGATTTCCTGAAATCAAGTTTTAAAACATTTGTTTTGTCTTTTTAGCTAAAACAACCCATCCAAAAAAAACTTACCATGTCCTTAGTGCTGACCATTCAATTTACACTTAGGCTTCTATTATTATGTTCAATGTTATTTTAACTAACATTTATTATATCAATTTCAATTACAAACAATGCAAGTTAATGAACTATAGCGTTCTTTGTATAATTAAATAAAGTAATTGTATATTAAAATATTTTTTTTTCAAAATGCGTAAATTACAAGGTAATCCTTTTTTTTTTATCTCATACTTCTTCATTCAAATTTGGGTATTACTAATATTAAAGGGATATTCAAATATTTAGAAAAAAAACTTACCAAAAATATTATCTGGATAATCAGAAGAATAGCCAGAAAAAACATCAGAAATCTGACTAGAATCTGGGAAAGGAAACAAAATTTAATAAAACATGACTTCATAATACTGTTATTACAAATATAAATTGAAAAGTGTAATACTTTTATTTCTTTGATATTTACACAATAAAAATCATAGAAAATATAAAAAGACCAAACCTGTCTGATCTATGTTCCCAGCACCTCCAGACTCTAGTGTGGTTGTGTGGGATTCCTGCTGTATCATGTGATTCACTGTAGTATAATTTCCTGTATCAGGAATGCTCTCCTGGTCATTTGGGAGGCCATGAGCCTGTGGTTGATTTATCTTGATAAAACTACATCCTATTTTGTGATAGATAGAGCTGCTTGGGTCTGTGTTGAAATCTGTGAGTTGTACAGAACTTTCACATTGTTCACATTTAACTATGTCCCCACTACCAGGGTAGTAGAACCCTGAACTTGCCAAATGTAGTGTGCTGTAAGTTGGATTTGTTGCGTGTGCCAACTTTCTGAAGGTCGCAATACGGTACATGCTAAATACAGGAAAAACTGTGATTTCAGTGTGAAGAGCATTTGGAGCAAAAGTGGAAATCTGTTTTTGAAAACAGTATGTGAATGGAAACAAAGTAGTCATTTTGTCTTCTTTCTCATTTTTCAGCTGTATTTCATTTTTAGAAGGTGCAGATTTCAGAAGAAATAGGAAAATAAAAACTAAACTGTAGATTGTTAGAAGCTGATTGTTCATATCAGTCTTGGTGCAGAAAATTGGTTTATCAAAATTAACTTTCAGGTCAAAGTCTTTGATTGCTATGAGTTTTCTATAATCATTTTGTTTTTTCAGCCAGTTTAGAAGTAAGATAGATGTCTTGTTTCTCACAAACTCTTCACCCTTGTTAGCTTTTGAATAAATTACCCAATCAAGATGTGAGGCTTTCATCAAATTTCCTCTGTAGCTAATCCTTGTCCCAGCCTTTTCCGCTAAATTTACTTTATTTCCATCTTTAACATCTTTCAAGTAGGTTTCTACTAGCTCATGACCTCTATATTGGGGGTCCAATGAGTGGGGTTTGTCGCCATCTATTTCAGGTTGATTGCATCCCAACGCCATGTTTAGAAGAATTAATAGCTTTAAGAATAAAATGTAAAATCTTTGCTCATAATGCTTTTTCATAATTTCTCAGCGTAGAACTTAAAGGCCACAATACCAAATAAGGCTAAGCAAAGCAACCTGGGGAAAAAAAAAGAAAAAAAATATTTTAAGCAAAGATCATTTTTTTTAAAAAGATCATAGGCCATGATATAATATTCCAACGGCCTACAATAGTAGTATGATGGTTTTGATATAATATTTTTATAGGCCTGTATAAAAACGTAGGCATAAGTTATAAATCAAACAGCCTACAAGAGACGTTATAGTTATAGATCTAGTAAACTTAATACAGATGAGATTGGCCCAGATCTACCATGATAAGACTAAAAAGTAGTAATAAGAGTATTAACTTATTAAGAGAAATCAAAATACAAAAAAATAAAATTCAAAACTCATTCTACTTACTTGTTATCATTTCCATTATTAAAAATATTCAGATCTAAAATTTAATTTACTTTCACCCTAAAAATATTTTAAAATTGAAGACAGATTTTTATTTTATAAGTTTAAAAAAGTATCAGAAACCTAACCTGCGCAGGTGCTCTATTCAATGATTTAAATCTTGGCAGTATTGGGGAAGTAAGCTACTAATTTTAAAAATATATTCAACAATTTGAGTTTTTTTAATATAAAAATTATCTAGATCTAGATTACTCTCATTGAGTCGACAGCTTTAAAACGAAATTTTCATGAAAAGATAATGTAAAGAGTGGCCTCCCTCCGCTCAAAGGCTTCTTAGGGCGCCTAATGACAATGTATCCCTGTTTTTTGTACACTAAAGTACACTTAATTATATTTAATAATTGAACTGAAAACCCGATCCCACTTAGTACATACACAGAGATGGGCTGACTGTGTCCAAGCGGCCCGGTAATTACAGTCAAGGTAGGCTATAGCGAATAAAGTTTTATTATATGGAATAAAAACCATCACGCCTAGACAGAAGGAATCTGCTCAGGATTTCATTTAGGCATCTCTTCGTGGAGGGCGGTTATATATATATATATATATATATATATATATATATATATATATATATATATATATATATATATATATATAGTATGTAGTCTATATAATATATTAACCTTTATTAAGTATACCTTTCATCCCCCCCCCCCTCATTAAAGTTGTAAGATGTCTAGAAAAACATTTGAATATTCTGCTGATTTAATAATTTTTTTTTTGTTTTTCCAATAGCAATTGTTTTATTCTACGTTTAGGAAAATTGTTTTAAGGGGTCGTCCATAAATGACGTCACACTTGTAGGGAGGAGGTGGGGGGGGGGGCTCGTAATTTTGTGACGGTGTGTGATGAGGGGGATGGGGGGGGGGCTCAGGTGGTGTGACGTCACTTTTTGCATAAAATAAGCAATGTTAGAAAACGAGTTTCAGCCGTTATTTCGCGTTTTAGAAAACGGTTTTAATAAATTGTAATAGGAATTGATCAAAATGCAAGATTTTGGAAAAATATCGATGTTTTAAGAAAAATTCAACAGCAATTTTGAGGGGAGTTATAGGCTGAAAAGTGTCGTCATTTAAGGGGGGGGGGGGGGTTCTGGCTTTTTGTGACGACGTGTGACAGAGGGGAGGGGGGGTAAAAATCGTCCAAAAAAGCATGACGTCATATATGTTTGACCCCTTTACACTAAAGTACACTTAATACTTGAACCCTGTACGACGTCGTCGTCCCACCCTCCCGCCCCCCCACCCCTTCCACACACACACACCCCAACAAAATTAATAAATATATAACTTATATTTAAAAATATATAGGATTACGTCCGTCCCGTCCCCCCACCCCCAATATATATATATATACATATATATATATATATATATATATATATATATATATATATATATATATATATATATATATATATATATATATATATATATATATATATATATATAAAGTATGCCTTTCATCCCACCCCGCTGCCTAAAGTTGTAAGATGTCTGGAAAAACACCTGAATATTCTGGTGATTTAATACTTTGTTTTTAGTTTTTCCAACGGTTTAAATAGCAATTGTTCTGTTCTACGTTTAGGAAAATAGTGTTAACGTCACAAGTAGTTAGACTTCTCCCCATTCCTTGTGACGTCATTGATAAGACCCTTTTTATTTACATTATTCTGCATTCTTGGCAATATACTATTACAACACGTAACCTACTGGCTAAGAGATAATTTCGAATAAGTCGGATTGTAAAGAATATCGAGTTTGTCAAATCATATAATCGTTCTTACCCATACAGCATATCCAAACTCCTGATAAACAGACTATACTATAAGACCGATAAAAGGTCTAGGCCTGTTTAAAGTGTTTACCAATACAGCGCTTTGTTGACACATTCCTTACTGCCGCATCGACAGTCAGATATAATTATAACACACATTAAATTATCTTTAAACGTGTACATTTTGATCAAGGTGAAAATTTGTAAGTATTGTTTTTGTCATGAAGATGTGTTGCTAAAACTACAACAATAAGCCAACTATTTAAACCCAACCACACCTATTATCACACTTCTTCAAAAAGCCAGTTGCCTCATGCTTAGGTGACGCCACAAAATTCCTCCCTCACCCCCCCCCCCCTCATCCCGATATTGTGTCGAGAATAAAATTCTTCTAGTTCTAATTTTTTTTAAAAATTCGTCATACTTTTATCCCCGCCCACCAACAATTGTGCCACCACACCATCTTATGACATTTTCTGGACTGTGAGATCCAGCATATTTAAAGTAAACAAATTGTGCTCTTTCGACCAAGTATTACACTGTGCTTAAATGAAGAAAATTGACAAATCAAGACACGAATTTGTTTTTAATGTATACAATAGGCCAGGGGTCGGCAACCTGCGGCTCGCGAGCCGCATGCGGCTCTTTTGATATCAAGATGCGGCTCTCCCGCTCCTTGCACAAATACTAATAATCTTAATAAAAAAAAAAAAATACTTGAAATAAAAAATGTTAGTGGCTCTTTAAAACCAGGGAAATTTAGAAAATTGTAACTTTTGGCTCTTCCGCTTCGAAAGGTTGCCGACCCCTGCAATAGGCCAATAACATCTAATTAATAAAACTGAATTTTGTTGTTCCTTAGTTATAAGTTTGGATAAGAAATAATTAATAATATTGTTATTTGCTCCGAAATCTTTCAAATCTATCCTTTGATTGGGTATTCGTGAACTTTTTGTTAACTGTCGTTAGAGATGTTAATTTAAACGTTAACATGACAATATGTTTAGAAGTTAAAATATTCAACGTTGTTAAAACTGTGGTGGGCCTACTAACAAAAAAAAATGGTTTGGCATTAAATGGCAATCTTTGTCCTGGCAATAGCCTAATAAGCTTCTTGGTCTACTTATTAAAAAATGTCAAAAATGTGTATATTGAAAGTAACTCTTTAATTGGGAACCAAAACATGTTAGGTCGTCAAATACTTAAGAGTAGTTTAAAGTTAATAATGTTTCGTTAGATTCCAATATCAATAACTAAAGTTACCACTGAAATGGTGACGGCAAACCCCAATCACGGATCCGCCAGCAGGCTGATCAGAAAGAACGAGTACTGGTACAAATGCTCTGATTTTATTGGTTGATTTTTTTGGAATTTCCGAAATTAGATGTCGACACTGTTATAGTTATAGAAGTAAGCACTTTATTTAGTCATTTAGTTATATTTTGAGTATTTTATTTATAAGCGACATTTTAAAACATTTTACTTCTTTCTCTTTTATGATTTCTAGTAGTATTAGCAATAGTTTTTTTTTTTTTGGAAGTGGGATGAGTATTATTTTTTTTCTATAAATAGACTTTAGTCCAGAGGCGTAGCAGGGGGGGGGGGGGCGGGGGGGGGGGGGGGGACCGCACCGGGTGACACCATTTAGGGGGGTGACACCAATGCAAAAAAATAGCAAAATATATACAGGAAAATGATTATTCCACTTAAGTGATTAATTCGAGTATTAAATTAGTCTTTTAAGAGGTGACACCATTAAGTGCCGCACCGGGTGATACTCGACCGCGCTACGTCACTGCTTTAGTCCCTGTGGTAGCAATATAAACAGAAAGTAATATTTCAACACGTTTATATTGCTATTTCAGTAACAACGCCTGCTTCCATCACCGCAACACGTTTACACAAGTTCCTGTAGTAGGGTTTTAATAACATTAAAATTTGAAACTGAAATAACTGAGTGCAGCGAACTGAAGGCAACACAAGGGAGATTTGAAACTGAAGCAGCGAACTGAAGGCAACATGAGAGCGTCGTTGCATGACGAGAGCGTTTTCAATTCAGGAGTTCAAGATGAGGGATTGGAGTGGGGCTTTCTGACCTCTCAATCGTTTCCAACCTCAGTGGTCACAAGGCAGAAGGCGGGGGGGGGGGGGGGGGGGGTCGGGGGCGGCGGCAGGCCGTTTATATTCACGTCTCAAAGTCAGCAGGTTTGCTTCCTTAACAATTACATTTATTAATTTAAGCATTTATTAATTTATCTGAAATCTTTTCCTTGATTGTTATAGTTTTGACAATAAAGTTGGTTGAATCTTCCATGGTCACTCGCCTAAAACAATTGTACCTGTTTTAAATTTTTGAAAAAGAAAAACCAAAAACTAGCTAGAACAACGTACAGTGTTTCTGAACATTTCTATAGCATTTTTTTTATCAGCTAGAGCAGGGGCAGCCATATTCGGCAAGAAATATTATGGTAATAGAGACACTAAGGATTCAATGAAAAATGGTAGTTCGTTATTAGCCATGTAAGTAGGCCTACAATAACAGACCTAATTTGACAGACCATCCTAAAATACTGTAGATATTTTGCCGTGAGATATTTTGAGGGTGAGATCATTTGTCCTTGAGATATTTTATCCGGGGTATTTTGTCCTATTACCCTATGTCTATGCATGCTTTTTTTCTTTACCACGTCGTGTAGGTATATGAAAGTACCATCATCGCACACAGGGGCGTAGCGAGGGGGGGGGGCGGAGGTGCGGACCGCACCGGGTAACACCACTTAGGGGGGTGACACCAAGGCAAAAAATAGCAAAATATATAGAGAAAAACTTGAGGGGGGGGTGCAAATCGAAAGTTTGAGGGAGGGGGTGCAGATCGAAAACTTGAGGGGGGGGGTGCAAAATCGAAAGTTTGAGAGGGGTGCAAATCGATAATTTGTCCCCGGGAAGGGTCGCTACGCCTCTGGGGGTGACACCATGAAGTGCCGCACCGGGTGACACCCGACCTCGCTACGCCACTGATCGCACACATAGCCCATCTGGGTAGAACACTAACAAAAATCTATTCAAAAATGGTACATACTTGACTGCCAAATTTTTACTAATCAAAGAGAGGTAACTCATTTTAAAAAATCAGGCGATAACGGCTGGCGTAGTACACTCCCTTAGACAAAAAACAAAACAATAAACACTGACATGTCGTGCTGCACGAGAACAGAGGGTAAAGCATTACATCAAGAATTTTTGCCGTTACAAGTCATCCTTCTTTAAAAGACGTATTTCGTCACAAATTATAATTTATTCCACAGGCCTATAATTTGAATTTGTATATCTAATTTGTATTCTAATACCTAGAATAAATCTGCCTACATGTTTGATTTCTAGTATGTAGAAAACTAGAAAAGTAAATAAATGAGAGCTAATCACCTTTCCATTAGAAACAAACGATGCCAATCAACGTTTACTGTAAATCTGAAGAGTTCTTTATTCTGATGTCACTGTTGGTCTTTGATTGGAATAGGCCTAAGTCTATTAAATTCTGTGGTGTCAACTACAGCATCAATGTGAAGAATCTTATTTTATATTTACAATTTGCAGACTATCAATTTTTATTTCTTAAGCTGGACTGAATATACATTTTTTTATGCATCTCAGAATTCACAGAACATGACTAAGTCACCTGCAATGAAGTGCCTGGTTTAAATATGGGAAAAGTAGAGTGGCTGAAGACCAACTCATCTTTTATGGCAAGCTCTACTATAACCTAATAAAAAAATCATTGTCATTTTTAAAGGGCATCATATCAAGTATGAGCATAAATTAACTTGGTAGAATAAAATCTTGCATGCTTCAAACGCGTTAAATTAAAAAAAATTAGTTAGAATGTATTGTTTGATACTACGTTTGAGTTACAATTTCTATTTAAAAAATTCTTGATAGTGTAAATATAAAACAGACCTGCATACATTAATAGGCTATAAACTATAAGTATATACATATTTATGTATTAAGTCTACCAGCCTACATGTAGGCCGTACTAAATATATAAATAAATAAATAAATAAATAAATATATATATATATATATATATATATATATATATATATATATATATATATATATATATAAACACAACAGATATATATATATATATATAGATATATATATAGATATATAATGTGCTGTATTAAAATTTTACACTCATACACAAATTAAAAAATAATTATAAATGTAATATAATTTTAATGCATAAAAGATATATAATACAAATTAAAATTAAAATAAAATTTTATATCAAATTTAAACTTGACAAATATATCACAATTCTTATCACACAAAGCCTGGTCTGCTCTATTTTTATAGGCCTAAACATAATTTTATAATATCTCTTGTGATGGCATCATCTGGAGCTTTGTGCACCATTTGTAGCCTTACATCAGACAAGAGGACATAGCTAAATCCTAGAGTTAGACTGCTACAAGTTTCAGGTAAAGTAAGTGGTGACTGTGGCAAGTATCTGAGTGCCACAAGCAGGACAGTGAGCCAGATGTTGAGAGCAATCTGTGCAGGCATACAAATGTCCACAGGGCAGGAACAAATCCCTGACAGGTGAACTCTGGCACACTTTACACTGGGTTTGGTGACTCAGTGTTCTGTTTTCTCTCTCAAGTAGACCTAGCAGTGTTGTTTTATTTCCAACTGAAACAAGAGGTAAAGAAAAACAATTAGATTCAGATTGTTTACAAAGGGACAGTACTTTTTTTGCCTGCAGAATTATTTTTGAATGGGAGATGTATTTATTGTTTATATTAATCATGACATTTTTTTAACAATCTGATTTTTTAATATAAATCAGAAAACTCAATTAAATAATCCATTACTTATAAGACCAAAATAATATTGAAGCACACTTTAAATTGTTCATTGTAATATGTTTTTTTTTTCTCACTGATTGTTGACTGTCATCCAAGTAAATAGTAGCATCTTGATATAAGTTTTGGTAGACTATAACTGCAACTGATCAACTACTGTTGGAACAATGTGCCAGAACAATTTAAAAACTTTTTAAAGCATTTAACCATGTGGAAAATGCCATGTTCTATCCACTGCATGATCAATACTGTTTATAATCAGGTTTGTTATAACATTAAGACACACATTTTAGGGTCTTTTTGTAAAAAACTTACCTATAATAAAAAAATAATGAATCGTTTTTGTCGAAAACAAGTGATTTCCTAACTAAAACCATTACTCACCAAGTACTGTTGGTTGCTGCAGGTTGTTGTCACTAGAACTAGGGTGTGGTGAGGAAATCACCTGATTGGTTGAGAAGTCCTGTGATGTTTTCCCAGAAGGCTGTGGTGAATTCTGTGTACTTGAGAAGTTTTGATTGTCTACACCGGCATGACAGTCATTGTTTTCTCCCTGATGTATCAGTGATTCTATCAAATACAAGAAGAAATTGATGGGGAATAAAATCAATAACAATTTAAAATTTTAAAAAAATAGAATATTCTTTTAAATTATAAAGTGGAGGCATTAAACAGCTAATAAAATAATTAAACAGTGTGCTGCCTTTAACCCATTTAATGTGTACCAGAGGTATAGTTTTGACTAATGGTAGTATGAATCAGTGCTGTTGCTATGGTAACCTCTTGTGGCTGATTAATAGCATGACTCAAAGAGGCTGTGGGGTAAAGATTATTTAAATTTTCATACATTATGGTCTTACATATTTAATCAGCTTAAGCCTTATTCATATATATAAATATACTATATATTTATATATACATATATATATATATATATATATATATATATATATATATATATATATATATATATATATATATATATATATATATATATATATATATACATATATATGTATATATACATATATATGTATATATACATATATATGTATATATACATATATATGTATATATACATATATATGTATATATACATATATGTATATATAGGCCTACATATATATATATATATATATATATTTATTTATTTATTTATTTATTTATTTATTTATTTATTTATTTATTTATCTATTTGTTTATATCTGTGACATGCATACATATCTGTCTGGCTACAGCATAGGTTTCATCTTGTCTGGCTAGTGGGGTCAACCCAGCACACAACTGAGCTTGCAAGTAGCAACATCCAGGGCTCTTATTCTGATGTTGAAATAAAATGTCATCTCCAGCGCTCCATGATTTTACTACCAGTCCACAGTAAAAGCATTGAACACAATGAGAATGACCTGATAAATTAGAACAATTCATTAATTGCCAGGTTTTTTTAAAAAAAAGTTAACCTTACCTTTCAACATAAACTGAAATTAAATTATTCCTTCTATATTACTTGTTTTATAAAGCAGCAAATTTCCTCAAAAAATGTTGAATTAATCTACAACCAAAAAAGGTATCAAATCTACATTTCTTAATTGGTTAGGTGGTTTACAAGTTTGCATTTGTTTATGAGGTGTAAAATTTCCAAAAACATACTTTGGCTGTGTATTAAGAAAATATTTGGCTTTGTATTAAGAAATATCAATTTAAAACAATTCGCAGAAAGCAACTTCACTTACATTAGCTGACAGTAATTGTTTTCATTTAATATCAATTTTTTTCAATCAATTTTAAAAAAGTATTTGATATATTTTAAGAAAAATAAATAGCCTACATTGTTAAAAGATTTTAGCATAAAAAATATACTGTAACATGCACTATAATCAAATGTATACTCTACTTTAATCAAATTTGTCTAACACTTTAAAAAATTAACTATATATTTTTAAAAATGTGTAAAGTTTTGCATTGTATTTTCAAAAGCTCAATAATCCTAAAATTTAAATCATTCAAAAGGCTAATTGAATGATATTGTTTCATACCAGTACAATAAAACCCAGCATCAGCTAACTCCTGTGGTGTGTGAGTGCTGTTAGCTGGCCAAGCAACAAAACTGTCCAGTCTTTTCTTGTGGTCACTGTACACTGGGTGTGTGCGATGGCCAAGTGTTGGTTGGGTCGGGAGGTGTGGGACCATCACATGAGGTGAGTGGGGCTCATGTGCTGATGCTTGTACCTCAGGTATGTGTGGGACCATCACATGAGGTGTGTGGGGCTCACGTGCTGAAGCTTGTACCTCAGGTATGTGTGGGACCATCACATGAGGTGAGTGGGGCTCACATGCTGAAGCTTGTACCTCAGGTATTTGTGGGACCATCACATGAGGTGAGTGATCTAGGGCTAGAACTTGAGATACCTCTGGTGCTGATAAAAGGTTGGGCAGGTGCATTGAATCTTTGTTTAAATAAGCTGAAAGAAAAAAAATTAATAATATTAAATTGATAAAAAAAAAATTTAAAATTAGCAACTGATTATATCTAAAATATTGAAATAGATCTGTATAATAGGAAAAAATAAATTTGCTATTAAAAAAATGAAACGTATGTTACTTCTCATTACAGAAACTCCACAGTTTTCCCTATTTTCAATCCCATAATGCATCCAGACATCTATTTTTAGCATCTGATTGCTGGCCCCAATAGGTGACCTAGTTGCTGTGATGATTGGAGCACCAGTGGATCCTGGACAGGTGGGGACCTTGTATGTTAGAGCTTCTTTAAGACTTGCTGCAGTTAATGGTAAAGAACAAAACCTGTTTTTATTCATTATATAGAAGGGAAGTGATACATAATAGGAGAATTGAGCATGACAGCAGTTAGTTGTCAATATAAAAACTCTTTCAGGTAATAAAGATTTTAGTCATGTTAAGTTCTATAATATGACATGCTAGAGAGAGAGAGAGAGAGAGAGAGAGATGTATATTCTCAAATTACTGTAGCAATAAGTTGAACATAAATATCTTTTTATTATAAAACAAATAAAACAAAAAAAATTTACATGATAGGACAAAGTATTCTTAAAATGTATTCCTATTACTGAAACATTTGCAAACATAGCCAAAAGTTTTGGGATATAAGTTACAAGGCTTAAATGGTTTACACCAAGCTTGCACCAAATGCTTGAACTGCCATTGCATAAATGGTTCTAAATAATTTTTTAACTAAGTTATTTATCAAAACTAAGTAGTTACCAATGTCTTCATGCCCATGGACTTTTTCCACAGATAAAAGGCTACTGTCTCCTTCTTCAACTTGAAGCTTGTAGTTAACATGGTTAAACTCCCCACTTGAGATGCATCTATCACTACCATGTGGGTAGGAAATTATCCAGATATATTTTTCCATACATTTCATGATTGTGTCTGTAATAGTTGCAAGTATATCTGCCAAATCTTGTTGAGTTTGCTGAAGCTGTTTGATGAATTGAACATCCTTTGTAGTACAGACCAGGGTAGACCTGAGCTCTCCTGGCATGTTGCTGTGTAGCACTTGTTCACCTTTTAAACATTTTGTCTTGCTTCTGTTGGCCAGATCCAAACAAAGCTCCACTGTACAGCTTTTTGCTTCTTCATTGTCAAACACAAGCTGGGTGGTTGTTTCTACAAAGACTGACCAAGTTTTCCTATAGGATCTCTTTGCAAAAGACTTAAATCTGCTTTGTAATGTAGCCTGTGGCTCATCGTTACTTTCATTTGGCTTGTCTAATGCACATCCAGTCCCGTATCTTGTAGTTCTGGATTCTTTTAAAACAGAGTCATTAGAAAGTCGTTTGGAACTTGTTTTGGAGACTGTTATTTTTGCTGTCAGACATGCGTAAAGCTTAATTAAGATTAAAACGTCACTGTGTTGACATTTACGAGGGAGGTGATCAAGTTGAAAATCATTTGATGGGATGAAGTTTAAGTGGTCAGGATTTTTTTTACAAGTTGACAACAGCCTTTGGGTTAGACGGCTAAATTTTCCAACTGATATCTCATACTCAGCCTCAAAGTTTGCTAGTTGATCTTAAACAAAATAATTTTTACAAGTGTCATTAAAAAGCTTGTAATGTAAAAAAGTTATAAAAACCAAAAAAAGAAGAGGGATATTTTAACAACAGTAAATACATGTTTCCAATTTTGCAAAATTATTAAGATCTACAATGGATACTAAAATAAAATAAAATCTTCAAGTTTTAATATATAACTTCTTCATAATTTACTGTCTCTTACAAAACTTTCTGGGCATCTCAAATTCAGATGAAGATTCAGAGGAAGCTGAAGAGTAGCCAGATGAAAAACTGGCAGAAGATGTCAATGAATTGCTGGACATGAACCTTCTGATCTTTGGTAAAGGGGTTTCAACATCTGCCACAGTAAATATTTTTCATTACAAAATAAAGTGCAGATCTTAAACTTTATTTCTAATATTGATATATTAAAGTTACAAGTTTAAATTCAAGGTTTTATATTGAAACATTAAAATTCAAAGATGAAACTCAATATTTTACATCCAATAAATAAAGTTTAAACTTAATATCTAGCATTGATATAATAAGGTTACAGGTTTAAATTCAATATTTTACAATTTCAAAATGTTTAAAGTTTAAAGAGACTACTAATCTGTAGGTGGTTAATCATTTTATAATAATTTAGCAATATAAGTGCTAGTAGATGTCTGTGTAGAAATTCCTGAGATGTACCTAATTGTATTAATTAAATAACAAATTAAATATTAAAAAACTGCAATAGACTTAAAAGATAAATCCTACCAGCTTCCTCTGATATTGATGTTAAACTGCTAACATCAAAAATATCTTCCTCTTGAAGTTCTGAATTGATAACCTTGAGAAATTCACTATTTGTACAGGCAAGCTGATTCTCCAGACCAAAGACATTTGTTTGCGTTTCTGACAGACCAGCCGACAACAGTGATGTCCCTTGCTCAGGTTCTAACACATCTCCACTTTGCTTGGTTGGAGCAGAAGAAATCCACACATATTCTTTTTTATTTTCCACAAAGCTTTGATTTTCCCTTTTATTTTCAACAAAGCTACAATTTCCCCTTTCGTCCTCAACAAAGCTACAATTTTCTTCATGGTAGCGTCTTCCGGCAGGTGAAGATATGAAGTGGCTCAGCTCAACTCTACTGCTACATGACACACAGATGACCATCAAATCTTCCCCAGAGTAATAAAACCCTGATGCTGCCAGCTGGGTAGCATAAACTATGTTGGGAAGTGTAGAAAAATCAACATTCCTAAACGAGGCAACTCTCGACATTTCAAAGACTGGGTAACAGGCGTACTCGTCTAAACGGTTTTTGAAGCCGAACATTGGCGAACTGATTTTCTCAAATAAAGACTGTACTTTTTCTTTTGCCAGATGAACAATCTTAAAAGTGTTAGTGAAAACTGTCTTTTCATACACATAAGGATCCAGGTGTACAATTAATTTTGGCTTTAGATTTGAGACGGATAATGTCACAGATGTCATTTTTCTATGTAGGCCTATAACATTTTTCATTGAAATAAATCTCACCAAAAATAAAAGCTTGTCTGTGTCTGGGTCTATGTTTAGATACAGAGTAACATTTTTGTAATTAACTTTTTTGAAGATGTAAAACAATGTAGCAACATAAAAAATGGCAATTAAAGCTATAACTGTATGTATAAATATAGGATAATCACATAAATACCAATACAAAGAGCTTGAAATGTCATCATGTTTTAAAATTAAATGAAGAAATTTTGTGTGTGTATTCTCTTCCTCCTTGAAAATGATTTTGCATTTTATTTTGTTTTTATTTCCTGCCTCAGTAGCATTGCACAAATTATTATTTTCTTCCAGTGTATTTAATTGTGGTGAATATATAGGCCTATGCTTAACTGTGCCCACATCAGACACAAACACTGCACTTTTTCTCTGAACAAAGACACATCTCCATTTATACTGCAAGCTGAACTGAGTTAAACTTGCTTTATCCACTGATTTCTTGAAACAGCAAATCTTTTTATTGTATCTCATGTCCAAGGTTAGGCCACCATGATTTAGATTTATATTTCCATGGAAAAGCTTGTTTATTTGCTGGTTATTTGGTTCAATCATTGAGTTCAAGTGTGTGGTCAAACATTGACAGGTCATTAGCCACAGTTGGCAATAACTGGTAATGTTGGGCAGTAGAATCATGTTACAAGAATCAGAAAACATTCCTGAAATAATAAAATTTGATAAGCTTGATAAAATTTAATTTAGCTAAAATTTTTGGTTAGGTGTACTAAAATTTATATCAACATAAATTAAACGTTAAATATATTGAAAACATGATTATTATAATGATAATTTTAAAAAAGGATGTAAGTAATGTATCAGTTATTTTTGTGTGCTAAATCCGTAACTTATTATATTACATATAATACCCATCAACTACTACATCTCCATATGCAAAACCCTCATCCCTCATAATATTTCTGTCTATAACTTAAATATTTTCTAACTGTATACATATTTAGAAATACTGCTACACTAATCTTAATGTGTACTCTTTTAGTGAATTAAAGCTTTAGTTTATATAAGTAAAGAAGTATATTTTGTAATATATATTGTCATTGTTTCTGGCTAAACAAAGCTGCTACTGTTTACATTTGACATATATATATATATATATATATATATATATATATATATATATATATACATATATACAACGTATATGAAAATGATATGTGCTTTTTTTGGATTGTAGAAACAATTCTTTGTAGGTCTGCATAAAAATTTAAATTATTTTTGAGAACTTCAAAAATATAAGGTTAAACTAAAGGTAAAATGCTTTCACATTTATATAATTTTGAACCATCCTTACAACTAGTGTAGTCTTTAAAAAATTGTTATTGATAATAAGAGTGCATAATTTTGCCTACAAAATTTACTTTAGGATCTTTCAAAGATTTTTTAGTCCTAAAGATAGATGTTCCATAAACATTTGCCTCTTTGTTTTTCTCATGCAATACAAGATTTTAGAAGATGCAGAGTGAAAGCTAAAGGAGTAAATGTTATAATCTTTTGGAAGCCACTGTCTTGGCCCAAATTAAAATTTAAACCATCAACTAATTAGGTGGTGTTCTATAAATTATTATTTATAATAGGCCTTCTGATTGACATACTTATTCAACAAAATGATAAAAAACTAGTCTCATTCCCTAGACTATAGTGTAATATATAATATTCAAAATAATGACATTAAACATTATAGATAGACGTAATATTAAGCTCTTCCGAGAAATAAACATTGACCATTGTTCTAACAAAATCAGCATGTATGCCCAATTGTAATTTCTCAGAAAGACAAAATGTATTTTAATGCATTTCCTCATCTTTTTATCCACGTTATAGATTAAGATATCCTAGTCAGCGTTAGCCTTGACTTACAACACCACATCTCACCATTACCACAATTAGACCAAATTAGCAGCTAGGCAAACAGCTGGTGTCCATGTAAACATAAAAAAAATCAGAAATTTTGTCGTTAAATTTCTTTTTTTAACTTTAGGTCACTTTCAAAATTATGTTTTTTTGGCTTTGACACGTAATTGGAAATTTCCGATCTATCTTATCGTTTGACATACTTGTACTTTGTTCTGTTTGAGTTAACATACTAAATGTGTTGCCTTATAGCCTATAATATAAGACTGTCCTGTCCGATAACATACCAAGTAGGCTTTACCGCAAACCGGATTATCCAGAAACGCCAACAGCTAGAAATAGAAAAAAATGCCAAGAGAGATAAGGCTGAGAAGGAAAGACAACATGGCTAGGCAAGTGTTAGACTGGAATCCCCAGGGGAAAAAGGAAAGTATATCGACCACAGCAATGCTGGAACAAGAGCTGCTGGGTGTATGCGGTCTCAAATAAAGAGAACTGCCTAAAACAGTGGAGAGATGGAGCTGCAGCCCTTTGCTTCTCAAGGGTTCGAAAGGAAAAAACCAATGTTTCTTTCGTGGGGGGGGGGGGGGTTGGACTAGTTGTTCCTGGGGTAAAATTATACATACATATATATATATATATATATATATATATATATATATATATATATATATATATATATATATATATATATATATATATATATATATATATATATCAATAAAAGCTATACTCGGTTCGGTGGAGGGGGTCACGGGCGCCAAACCATATAGGGACGTCAAACGGCAAATAAAATTTTGTGACATCATTATAACAACTGTCAAGGGATCGAGTCTAGTAAATGGGAGGGGTGGGGGGAAGCGCTTTTCTCGCCCCTGTGGCGCAAATTTGATAGCTCGTCCCAGGCGCGGGATTGAATCGCTACGCCTCTTGAGGAGGGGGGGGGGGTGAGTCTAGAACTTTTGTGACAACAATCAAAATAGATACGTTATTAGCAAACAGTTACTATTAAATAATAAAGATATAAACAATTAACAGAACATAAATAGCGTTTTAGCGGACACTGTATTTTGACGTTTGTTAAAAAAACCATTTATAGATTTTCTTATTAGACCTACCTTATCGAAACTCACATTCATGGAATTCTTCTCCAGGCATAGCCTAAGTTTCTAATGAGGGTGTAGCTGAGGAATAAGGAAGTAATTTTACCAAACCCAAATCTCACCTTACACTATTGACAAACGACCACGTACGTCTATACATAAGATTATCTAAAGAGTTTGGGGAAGGGGAAATGAAGGTTGTAGTGAGTTTTTCACTACGAGGTGGTAGGAGAGTTTCACAACGTCACACTTATTAATAAATGTAGGCTATATATTGCTCTATCGTTGTAGTCAAAATATCTTATCCTTGCTATCCTTTCATTAGTATAATATACTATCACTATATATATATATATATATATATATATATATATATATATATATATATATAAAGCACCATTGATCCTATCGCAAGAACGCCCTACACAGTGGGCTATTATATTCTAATACTGCCGTATTAACCTGGCGCCCATTCAGTAGTGTAAGCTAACGATTGGCACACAAGGCGCCGTGCCATGCAGCTGACACATGGGTGTTCTACTTCAACTTTGCGATGGGGGATCAACATACACTGGGGCGTCTGGGCGATAGTATGGACCTGCTCCCTAACCACTAAGATCAAAGAAATGTAGCGCCGGCTTCAGTTAGAGACCGAAACTTTTGAACTTTGTATCCAGGATTGCTGGTGGCGCAAACTTAAACCACACATTTATATTTAAACGTCATCTCACACCGAAGTTGCTTTTTTTTTTTTTTAAATTTCGATTTTTGTATCGATCTGTCGAATTCCATCTACCCGTTCCCAATGTTTCTTCCAGACTTTTTTCTCCAGGGGTGCACTTGAACTTTTCGGGGAGGGGGGGGAGGGGGGCGGACAACAATTTCCCGTGGGGCGGACACTGTCAAAAGTATATATTTTCTATATAAATTCCATTTCGTTGGGGGGGGGGGGTGCGGTAGACTTTCTTTGGGTTAGGGTAAAAAAACGTCACATCATTTATAGATAATCCCATAGGGTCAAAACATACAATACAAGCTAAGTGTTTGCTGTCTGTTGATTCATTTCTTTAATTTATTTCATAATTTAATTAAAAATTACATGATTCTGTTTTAATAAGTGTCAAAAAAAAAAAAACCACCGTCCTAGGCAAATAGTTGAATGTGTAGATATTAGATTAATTATGATTTTTTTTTTTTCTGTTACTGACAAGGTTTACAACTTTCGTAGTGAAATTAGCCTTATAATATATTCCGTGTGCATTTTATTTACTTGTGTACAAAGTAATGTTTTAATTTAATAAACACAAACTAAATAAAGGTTTGGAATTTAAAAGTAAAGTATAACATTTACTTGTATATTAATTAAATTTTTTGCTTATATTTCAATATTTACACTTAGAGACATCATCATTTAATTTCGATTGGTTCCATTGTAAATGTTCTGATATCCCCACATGAATGAAATTGGTTTGACAGTACACAATTTTGAGGGTTTACAAAATCCTGGATCGCGTTATAACATTAACACGTACGCAGCACTCCACAGTTTTTAAATTTCCTTTTCAATGTAGATCTAGGTCTAGGTGTTAACGATAGGTCTGAAGATTGGGTGTATCATCACATGAAAACAGGACGTCCTCCACGCAATCGCAACGGAAATTTCCTTTAATTAATATCCTACACTTTATATTAAAGATGAGGCTGCAATACAATAATTTTTGTAACAAATGTATCGCTTAATAAATTTTCAAAATGATAATAATTTTACGTGCAATATATGAATTCTCAACATAAGCATATTTCAAATACTAGGTAAACATTTTAAACTACTTAATGTTTGACATGACCAAGGAACAACAAAAAGAAGATTGACACCAGTGTTTCTTTAAGACTTATTTCTCCATGGGGGGGGGGGCACTTGGAGCTTTCGGAGAGGGGGGGGAGGGGGGAGTACTTTTTTCGAGGAGGGGGGGCGGACACTGGTAAAAGTATAGAATAAAAAAATATAGATGTTCCCTTGAAGTGATGCCTGGAAGAAACTCTGATTGACTCAGCAGAAATATTATCGACTCTATATTAAAATTTCACAGCTTCGTTGTCTAGATGTATCTTGGGAATATCTGATCAGTTTAATGCCTAGCCGGCTTTACTTTTCCAAATGTGAGTCAGGTCTCCGCCCCCCCCCCCCCGAACGAGATAGAATTTATATAGTAAACATACACTTTTACTAGTGTCCGCCCCCCCCCCCCCCCCCCCGGAGACAAAAAGTCTGGAAGAAACACTGAACACTGCTAAGAAGAGCCAATATTTCTAACCAACATCTGCACTTAAGACAAGACTACACCATAAAACATATGTAGTACAAAAACGTTGTTGTAAAAAAGTAAAAGGTATTTCCAAACATTCTAAAGAATGTAAACGTAAGAGTTGACATTCTTTTGTGCTTTCAAGTGAAAATTGATGATCCGCAGAGGTTGGGAATTCCCGTTCAGTTGGGGTTAAAATTTAAGGCGATTGTGACTGTTCAACTAATAATTAATAAGTCGGTTTACATTATTTGTTACATAGCAGGGGCGGAACTACTATACCGTCAGACCTCGAAAAGCGAGGGATGGGGGAAGGGGTAGGACAGAATCACTTTGATAGAATAGTGGTTAGGTAAAAATACAAAGAGTTCTACTGCAGAATTGATTTTTCTACAGTAACCAACACACATTGTTGCGTGTAGGAAAAAAACTTGCATGATCGGTAGTGTGAAAGATAGGCAATTCTTCAAATCACTTCCATGACTTATTACCCTTTTTTATATAGTCTAATAAGGGTTGCCCATAAAGCTCATTTAGTTTGTTTGTGCTAAGCAAATGACAAAGAAATTTCTTCTCTTAATTATTATTAAAATAAGGTATATTAAATAATGACAGCAATAAAAAGGAATTTATTCAAAATTAATTATATAAACGCAAAAAAACATAAGAATAAAACGTAGACTGGAAAACGTGTTTTATATTCTCTTGACCGACTTGTCAGTTATGAAATTTCTTTTACGCAATTTTCGACGGACGTATATGCCCAACTTAAATGAGCTATAGAAATTTTTTAACGCTCGATTATTTCAGACAAGATTTCAGTTAAAACTTATTTATGTGTTGTTTGTTTTTCCAGATGGATATACATTGGAATGAAACAGGTTTAATCATAAATTATGAAATGGTTTAATTTAAAATATAATGAGACTTGACACACACGCATATACATATACATATATATATATATATACATATATACATATATATATATATATATATATATATATATATATATATATATATATATATATATATATATATATATATATATATATATATATATATATATATATAGGTGGGCAAGTAAAAATGTTTTTGTGCGTGGCTTTTTTTTATTTAGCTCCGACAATGTTACAAGATCTAGGCATCAAAACTATTCTGCTATTTTTTAATGTTTAATGTCTTTAATTAATAATTTTGTAAGTAAATCTACTTTCACGTGAAACAACAGCTGTAGTGAAAAAAAAAAGCAGCGAGTTTAGTTTCACTCACCCAAAAAACCCAACAAAACACTAAAAGCGGTCGGCTTGCGGTGGAAGCGTTACTATTTTTGTATCTGTATGTGGAAAATTCCGATAATTGAAAAGGAATTTCCGTTTTTATGTGTGGTATTTCCAGTTGCATCATTGCAATCACATGGTAACGATGGGCCTCAATAGTTTATAAAAGCGAAAACAGACTGGTTACCTTATTTATAAAGACTCTCTTTTCTGAAAGCTCGTTAGAACATAATGAATCAAAATACTTTTTGCATGTAATCGGACTTTTAAAAAACAATAAACAAGAAACACGACGCTGTGAAGCTAGTGACGGATAAATACAAAAGCTGAAACACTGTGAATTCGGAAAATGAATACAATGATATTGTCAAATCGTCACATACAAATCGAAAACATTTTCAAAATTGTAAAAAAAATGTTTTTAAAAACAGGAAAGAAAACAAAAGCCGAACTTTTCATCTCGAATAATTTATCAATTTTTTAGTAAAGTTTGGTAGTGAACCAGCTAAGATAAAAGTTAAAGGACATAAGTGTGTTAATGCCTAGTGTTGTGATATTTTTAACTTCTTATATAAATGTGACAACGGTAACATAAACACAAGGCAGTGAATTATTATATAAATGTCTAGGCCAATATATATGTGTAAATTATATGTATTTATGTACATATGTGTACGTGTGTATCACTCTTCTTAGATATTAAAAGCCTATCAAATAGAAAAATATTATGGTTATCCTAACGCCCACTACTGGTAAATTGTTCATTCGCCTTTTAGTCGTGGTGTCCATCTTCTTGGTTTTAAACGACCCAGCACGTTTCTCCAAGGCTAATAAACTAACACCTCAACCTAATGTGAACCGGGAGTACTACTTACATTTCCTACTCCGGTGGTGGTTCTACAACAACGATCAGAGTTACAGCTTAGACAAGAAGCAACGGAAAACATGGGGTGAAAGAAACGTCTTGTGGTGGCCACGTCTCACATGGCCCGTGTGGCCAGTGGTCATCTGTCCTGTTATGTACGACGAAGATGGTTATTCTCACCGTCTGGCCACCTACAGTGCCCCGGAGTTCTCACTGTGGGGCGTGTCTGCCTTTCAATTTGCGAGGTCAGGATTCAGATTTGATAGGACAAGAAACAGCCTTGTTTGCATCAGGTGAGAAAGATTTATTTTCAGAGCAGTTTTTTTTTATTCCGTGTTTACATTTTGGTTTATTTAAAACATAGCATCGAACTTATGAAAACAAAATGTTTCGAAGTTTTTTGAATCACCGTATCTTCATGTAAGTATAAATGGATTAGCATAAATGAGTTATGGTATTCTTCATCTTAGGGGTGGATTTATGGTTACAGTCTTTGTGAAAAATAGATATATTTTTGTTATCGTGTGCTATCACACTGTATCGTGATGAACTCGTTGATATATTTTGTAGCACTTACTCAAAACCAGCTAGATAACTGGGTAACGTAGATTTTTATCTACTGATTTGATTGCAGATGAAAGGCAGGACATTTTGCTGTAGTTATAAATATAGAGCTTTATATTTTCTCAACGGATTATTAGTAATAAGTTTAGTGTGGGGGGGGGGGGCACATATATTATAAATTGAAATTTACTATGAAACCATCGCAGATCTTGATTACTCATTTATTGTTGACTCTTACATAGTAATACAAAAACTTCAAGTAATACCTTGTTAACCACACACCTTGTTTGTGTAGCACTGTTAACTACTTAAACACATCACATTTATTACACATTATGTTAACTTCGCACCTTATCTACTACACAAACGTATTAATACCTTGTTGTCCCACACCTTATTCACTTAACGCTTTGTTAACCACTTTCTACACTCCCAAATTATATTTATAACACAAAGTTTACCTGACAATTTGGTTGTTACACACCTTTACTGTGTTAAGCTGTCGAACGTGCTTATCAAGGCGAGATATTGAGGATTCGGATCAACCACATCTTTGGAATCACTCGCCTGATTGTAGATACAGGTACGTAGGGTGAGTTTGTTTACAGCTGTATTAGGTGTATCTGGTGTGTGTAATGTAGATATATTTTTGTTATCGTGTGTTATCACACTGTATCGTGATGAATTCATTAATATATTTTGTATCACTTTACTCAATGCCAGCTAGATAACTGGGTATCGTAGTTTTTTATCTGCTGATTTGATTGCAGGTGAATGGCAGACATTTTGCTGTAGTTATAAATTTAGAGCTTTATATTTTCTGTTGCATTCATTTACACGTAGATAATATAAGATAAGTTGGAGCTTATAGATCTATATATTTTAATACGTGAACACAGCATAACGAAAATGTAAACCAATATATGAATGTACCACAATGCATAACTCTAATGTACCACAGAATAAAGAAACATCTAAACTAATATATGAATGTACCACAGTATAAAGAAACATGTAAACCAATATAGGAATGCACCACAATGCATTACGCTAATGTACTACAGTATAAGGAGACATGTAAACCAATGTACCACAATGCATCGTGTTGTATACCCTAGATCTGAAGCGAGGCCTTGGGTCAAGTACCAGTTGAGTCAAGAAAATTCACCTGTATACCCTGCAGACGACATTACCGTTGGTCCAGACGATCGTATCAGATTTCCTGCAGACACCAGGCTAGCTCAGATGTGAGCCAATTAGAGAAGTCAAGTCGTTAATTAGTTTTCTCTTCTTTACAAAGTATAACAATTGATGGGGGTCATACAACAAGGATAATTTCATGGACCAACTGCAGTGTGGTCTTAGACTACCTTCCCCCCCCCCTTTCTCCCGAACAGAGAACTTTTCTAATGGCATAATGATAATATTTTTACCCTACATAACTGAGATTGTGAGAGTATTTTAGTAGCATCTGAGACTAGTTTCTGAAGAAGTTAATTTAATTTAATTTCAATTATGTTTTTTAAAAAAAAAGCGTTTCATTTTGCTTGGCAGTAATGCATAGTTCGTGTAAATGTAAAATATTTTATAATTAATAATACAAATTGTAATGTCCATTTAAAAGAGAGGTGGGCCAGGATATGGGTGAAGAAAATGACGACCATGTTACCAACGATGAAGAGCTGACGCCCATCAACGAGAGACAAAGATGTAGAAGAAGACTTCACCCACAGTATGACCCAAACCACCCGGGGTATGTTTGTCACGTTTGTTTACTTGGTGTAGAGATAGGTGGCGTACTTCTTGGCTTGTTTAAATACGTTTTTGTTATATAATAACAAATAATTAAAAACTCACGTAGCAAAAGCTTTTTAGACTGTTTGGTTTGAAATGATATTTTTGTATATTGCAGCGAAAGAAAAACACATAATTTGGTAAATATTCATTTAGCAAACTATGTTGTGTTAGAGTGTTTAATATTATCTTTTTGTCTTAGAACATCGCAGAATTATCACAGATATGTATTGAAAGAGGCATTATATGAGCATTCTACTAATAGAACATGGCTTCTTTTTCTTTTTTTTTTTTTTTTTGTAGACAAAAATGTCTGTACCATATATATATATATATATATATATATATATATATATATATATATATATATATATATATATATATATATATATATATATACATATACATATATATATATATATATATATATATATATATATATATATATATATATATATATATATATATATATATATATATATATATATATATATGTATATTTCCAACAGGGATATTATTTTACCCCGTACCCGCTCACGGGTTGAGAGTTCACTTCCGGAGCCAAGAGCTCAACCTGCAGCAACCAATGACGTGCTACCTGGTGCCAACGATGAGACTGGACTATCAGAAGCGACGGGCGGAGAATAGAGAACAACACTTGAACATAGGGCTACAGTCAGTGGTGAACATAGGGCTACAGTCAGGGGTGAACATATGGTTACAGCCAGTGGTGAACATATCCTTGACATACGGCCCTAGTGCACGGGGAACAAGTCGTACATTCTATTGACAGAATACATAGGTCGCCCACAAAGTCAGCTTGTCGGCCATGCCACTCTAAGGCAAGTTGTGCTCAAGCAAGCTGTAAAAGGTCAAGCAACGCAAATTCAGACTCGCTGTCCAAAATATCAGGCAGTTCTCAATGTCAGGTTGACTTAAATATCAAGCTGTTCACACAGTCAGGTTGTCTTAATGTCAAGTTGTTAACAAAGTCGGGCTGTCCAAAATGTCAGGCTGTCCAAAATATCAGGCTGTCCAAAATGTCAGGCTGTCCAAAATGTCAGGCTGTCCAAAATGTCAAGCTGTCCAAAATGTCAGGCTGTCCCAAATATCAGGCTATCTAAAATGTCAGGCTGTCCTAATTATCAGGCTGTCCAAAATGTCAGGCTGTCCAAAATGTCAGGCTGTCCAAAATGTCAGGCTGTCCAAAATGTCAGGCTGTCCAAAATGTCAGGCTGTCCAAAATGTCAGGCTGTCCAAAATGCCAGGCTGCTCAAATGTCAGGCTGTCCAAATGTCAGGCTGTCCAAAATGTCAGGCTGTCCAAAATGTCAGGCTGTCTAAAGAGTCAGGCTGTCTAAAATGTCAGGCTGTCCTAAATGTCAGGCTGTCCAAATGTCAGGCTGTCCAAAATGTCAGGCTGTCCAAAATGTCAGGCTGTCTAAAATGTCAGGCTGTCTAAAATGTCAGGCTGTCCTAAATGTCAGGCTGTCCAAATGTCAGGCTGTTCAAAATGTCAGGCTGTCCAAAATGTCAGGCTGTCCAAAATGCCAGGCTGCTCAAATGTCAGGCTGTCCAAATGTCAGGCTGTCCAAAATGTCAGGCTGTCCTAAATGTCAGGCTGTCCAAAATGTCAGGCTGTCCAAAATGTCAGGCTGTCTAAAGAGTCAGGCTGTCTAAAATGTCAGGCTGGCCTAAATGTCAGGCTGTCCAAATGTCAGGCTGTCCAAAATGTCAGGCTGTCCAAAATGTCAGGCTGTCTAAAATGTCAGGCTGTCTAAAATGTCAGGCTGTCCTAAATGTCAGGCTGTCCAAATGTCAGGCTGTTCAAAATGTCAGGCTGTCCAAAATGTCAGGCTGTCCAAAATGCCAGGCTGCTCAAATGTCAGGCTGTCCAAATGTCAGGCTGTCCAAAATGTCAGGCTGTTCAAATTGTCAGGCTGTCTAAAATTTCTGGCTGTCCAAAATGTCAGTCTGTCTAAAATTTCTGGCTGTCCTAAATGTCAGGCTGTCCTAAATGTCAGGTTGTCTAAAATGTCAGGCTATCCAAAATGTCAGGCTGTCCAAAATGTCAGGCTGTCCAAAATGTCAAAAAGTTCATTCATTATCCTGATCAATTAATGCTTTAATTTGTGTTAACTTTAACATTCATTATCCAAATCAATCAATGCTTTAATTTGTGTTAACTTTAACATTCATTATCCAAATCAATCAATGTTTTAATTTGTGTTAACTTAAACATTCATTATCCTAATCAATCAAGCTATAAAATTCACTAAAAGTAAATGGAACATGACTGCTTATAAGCTAAAATGGTAGAGATAATCATTACCCACGACATTGCGGCTAATGAGAAAGCACTATACATTAACTATTTGGAAAGAATGGAATGCTATTCGTTTGACAGTCTTTAGTATCAGTATCTTTTGAGTAAATACTTGAGAATGAGACATGCAAATTTTAAAATTAGATCTAATTAGCAGAGTTGCATGCTGTCTTACGTCGTGTTTTATCAAGCTAAAAATGCGATACTAATTTAATACTTTTCTTTGGTTGTTCGCTTTGGAAAGAAACCGTACATAATACACCATTTCCAACTTGACGATGTATTCCCTTGTATCTGAGACCAAGACATATGAAGAGATAGTATGGTCAGTTCTATGCCCAGACGCCTTTACTTTCCTTTACCTGAGCGAGATACACATGAGAGATGGGTGGACTCAGGGACGTCTAACGCAATCGAGCTCGGGATTCGAACTCGAGACTTCCGAGTTATCAGTCCTGCGTTCTACCCACCTACAGTGACTTCCCATTCACATCCTGTATATAATCTTGAATTGTGTACAAACTGAGTGTTGTGGTGTACATGGTGCGTGGCGTTGTACATGTTATGGTGTGCTGTACGCTATAAATCATTCGGTATTGTCAGCTTTGATTGTCTATTGTTATTAATAAGAACAACTGTAAACATGTTGAAAATATCCATCTACAACACATGTGCTATTTGACTTACTGCTAAAACATAGCTGTTATCTTCCAATTATTTATTTGTATTGAATTAATCAAATACATTATCAAACAGTTTTAAAAGTGATTTTTTTTTTACATTTTTAGCTGGTGTAAAACTTGAATAATAGAGTTGAGCTCCTTTTAGAATTTCAAAATTATTAAATTAAAGTTTTAAGTTTCAGTAAAGATGACCATGTGTTACGTTGATGTGTTGTACTGTTATTAAATTAATCCTTCCTAGTTTAAGAATGATACATTTTACAATAAATCTTTATACACCATCTCATTTTTTAAAATGTTTTTTTAATTTGTGTGTATGTATGTGTGCTAGCATGTGTGCACATGTGTGTGTGTGCACATATGTGTGTGTGTGTGTGTGTGTGTGTGTGTGTGTGTGTGTGTGTGTGTGTGTGTGTGTGCATGTGTGATTCAAGTGCTCTGGAAAGGTTTTATAATCCGATCTCTGGTAAGTAAAACCTAAATGACTGGCAGCTGCCCATTAACATATTGTATTACAAACAAACATAAATAAATTCAGCATTTTTTTGCACAATTATATTTTTAAACATAGAAACAATTTAATTAAAAGCAGGAAATATTTTAACTTAAAAATTTATTTTTATAACAATTAACACAACATTAAAATTTTAATTAAAACTCACATATTGCGAATTAGCTAATGGTGGAGCTATTTTTGGACAATACTTTAAAAATAAAAACAAAATGATTTTTTATTTAAAATAGATTTAACCTTTATCATAAAAAACATATCTCTGTTTATCTGTGTTACAAATTAAAGGTTATTTCAAAATTATGTTTCATAAATGAAGAAGTAATGGCGCTGTAAGAAACACCTTATCTGTTGGTATAGTAAGCTGTATTGATAGTTTAATCCACATATTATCTTCTTTCTTCTTCTTCGTTCTTAATTTTTGAATATGGTGGAGGATTCAGACAACAAGTCCAACTTCATGGACAAACCGGACTGTGGTTTCCAGTTTGTCAGGTGTCCCATATAATTTTTCCCTGAGTGGGGTGGGCTGGGGCCAGTGTCTGCCTCTTGCCTGGCTATACAGAGTACAATCCTGGAGTACGTGCTCCGTGTTTTCCGGGGCCTTGCCACAAAGGCACATTTCGCTACACCCAACCTTCAGTTTTTTTTTCATAATTTTATCCACATATTAAAAAACATTACATTAGCTAACCTGCGACTACTTTTAACAAATTTTAACAAATATAATATAAATGCAAATTCAAGAAGACAATTAAGATATCACAGTTTGCAGGTAGTAATTAGCTCTAATTAAAACATCGAAGACCATCGTCAACAGAGGAGATTAAACTCTAGTAACTGAAGGGGCGACCAGGGGAGGCGGGCTGTAGATTTCTTTAACATATAAAGTGAACATTTACAGTTTTAAAATACATATAACTTCGAATAGCTTGGGGATCAAATATTTTGAATGTAAGATTGGGTATGGCGATCTCTTTTCCGACTCTTACCAAGACTTTTCTTTAGTAAGATTTGAAGAAAAATTATTTTTGTCTAGATAAAATAATAGATATTAACAGTTAAACAGTGCAAACGCAATCATATTTATACGATGAAAGCTTACATATTTTAAAACTAGCTGTATCCCGTGCTCCGCCACGGTAAATCATTTTTAAATATACCAACTTTGGAACAGAACAAAACTAAACACAACACAAACGAACAAACGCAAAAAAAACAACAACGAAAAAACGAACACAACACTCATAACATAAACACAATTTAAATGCAATCATAAAGGCATATTGCTCACAGTCTAGCCCGTAGCGCCAAATCGCGCCCTTTCCGAGTCCCGGCGGACGCGTCTGACACAGTGAATGACTACAAAACAGAGGCGTTGCGACCCTTTCCGGCGCCCGGGGACAAACTTTCGATTTGACCCTCCCTCAAACTTACGATTTGCACCCCCTCCCCTCAAAATTTCAATTTCCACCCATCCCCTCAGACTTTCGATTTGCACCACTTTTGATTTGAAATTCCCCCCCGCTCAAACTTTTGATTTGCACTACCTCAAACTTTCGATTTGCACCCTACCCCCCTACCCCTCCCTAAAACTTTCGATTTCCACCCCCCCCCCCCTAGCTACGCCTCTCTTATAAAACCCCAGCTTGTCCGCAAACCGAAAGATAGAATAATAATAAATAATATACAATAAAAAATAGGCAATATCTATAATATCCGTGTTTACCTACCATATATCACTTTATCAATTCACGCATTTTTTTCCCAGTATTTTAATTTTAAAAATTTACAATTGAGTTTCATAACTAAAACCATTGCGCACCCAATGTCTATAATGGTGCGGAATAGTTGATTAAAAATTATAATTAGTAAACAGTACATTCAGTGAATAAAAAGAAATAAAAGATAGCCTTTTATCAATCAATGTGCTAATAATAATATTCCAACAATAATGTACTCTTACACGTCAGCATAATTTGCATTCACATTTTGCTAATTATATTATTCCAACAATTATTCCGTCTTGCAGATTTTGCATTCACATTTTTAGCGTGAGTTCAATTTATCTTTGAATTACCTCCATTGGCAAAATTACTAAGCAGTTTAATTAGATTTTTCTACCCTACTGTTATTATGTTAATAAAATGTATCCACTTTTTCTGGGAATATTAAAGAAAACTATATTTGACATTGATCCTTTTAATATGTTTTAGCAATGTGCGTGTATTTAATATTCTCTTTACGTTATGCAAAATTGTACAAACAGTGGAAATTATAAAATAGCTCTATGCCGCTATATAAACAAACCCTACTCTAATACTTATAATAAGACACTGCGGTGCACTGAAAAGCACAGCATGGTGCGTAGTTTACTTTTATAGTCCCAAAATCTATAGCGATGACGGACGGACGGACGGACGGAAGGAAGGAAGGAAGGACAGACACAGCCCGCTTATATTATAGATGTTCTTAGTTCACAATTTGTAATCACTAAACATTGCATTAAAATTATATTCTAGTATGTTCCTGTAAACATTTCTCTGTACTAAAAGATAAACAGGTATTCTGTTGTACACAACTTTTAACAAAAAAAATGATGTCAGACCGTCAGGTAAAAAATTAGTTACTGTGACGTCAGACCGTCAAGTGAACAACGTTGTCACTATGGCGTCAGATAAAGAACGTTATCTCTGTGACTTCAAAGCGTCTGTTAAAAAATGTTGTCACTGAAGTCAGACCTTCAGGTAAAAATGTTGTCACTGAAGTCAGACCTTCAGGTAAAAAATGTTGTCACTGAAGTCAGACCTTCGGGTAAAAAATGTTGTCACTGACGTCAGACCTTCAGGTAAAAAATGTTGTCACTGTGACGTCAGACCTTCGGGTAAAAAATGTTGTCACTGAAGTCAGACCTTCGGGTAAAAAATGTTGTCACTGAAGTCAGACCTTTAGGTAAAAAATGTTGTCACTGTGACGTCAGACCTTCAGGTAAAAAATGTTGTCACTGAAGTCAGACCTTCAGGTAAAAAATGTTGTCACTGACGTCAGACCTTCAGGTAAAAAATGTTGTCACTGACGTCAGACCTTCAGGTAAAAAATGTTGTCACTGTGACGTCAGACCTTCAGGTAAAAAATGTTGTCACTGACGTCAGACCTTCAGGTAAAAAATGTTGTCACTGAAGTCAGACCTTCGGGTAAAAAATGTTGTCACTGAAGTCAGACCTTTAGGTAAAAAATGTTGTCACTGTGACGTCAGACCTTCAGGTAAAAAATGTTGTCACTGAAGTCAGACCTTCAGGTAAAAAATGTTGTCACTGTGACGTCAGACCTTCAGGTAAAAAATGTTGTCACTGAAGTCAGACCTTCAGGTAAAAAATGTTGTCACTGACGTCAGACCTTCAGGTAAAAAATGTTGTCACTGACGTCAGACCTTCAGGTAAAAAATGTTGTCACTGTGACGTCAGACCTTTAGGTAAAAAATGTTGTCACTGTGACGTCAGACCTTCAGGTAAAAAATGTTGTCACTGAAGTCAGACCTTCAGGTAAAAAATGTTGTCACTGACGTCAGAAAGTCAGGTAAAAAATGTTGTCACTGTGGTCAGACCTTCAGGTAAAAAATGTTGTCACTGTGGTCAGAACTTCAGGTGAAAAATGTTGTCACTGACGTCAGAACTTCAGGTGAAAAATGTTGTCACTGACGTCAGAACTTCAGGTGAAAAATGTTGTCACTGTGGTCAGACCTTCAGGTAAAAAATGTTGTCACGGAGGTCAGACCTTCAGGTAAAAAATGTTGTCACTGTGACGTCAGAACGTCACGTAAAAAATGTTGTCACTGTGGTCAGACCTTCAGGTAAAAAATGTTGTCACGGAGGTCAGACCTTCAGGTAAAAAATTTTGTCACTGTGACGTCAGAACGTCAGGTAAAAAATGTTGTCACTGTGGTCAGACCTTCAGGTAAAAAATGTTGTCACTGACGTCAGAACTTCAGGTGAAAAATGTTGTCACTGTGGTCAGACCTTCAGGTAAAAAATGTTGTCACGGAGGTCAGACCTTCAGGTAAAAAATGTTGTCACTGTGACGTCAGAACGTCAGGTAAAAAATGTTGTCACTGTGGTCAGACCTTCAGGTAAAAAATGTTGTCACGGAGGTCAGACCTTCAGGTAAAAAATTTTGTCACTGTGACGTCAGAACGTCAGGTAAAAAATGTTGTCACTGTGGTCAGACCTTCAGGTAAAAAATGTTGTCACTGACGTCAGAACTTCAGGTGAAAAATGTTGTCACTGTGGTCAGACCTTCAGGTAAAAAATGTTGTCACGGAGGTCAGACCTTCAGGTAAAAAATGTTGTCACTGAGGTCAGAACGTAAGGTAAAAAAATGTTGTCACTGTGGCCAGTATCAAAGCGTCAGGTAAAAAATATTGTCACTGACGTCAGACCTTCAGGTAAAAAATGTTGTCACTGACGTCAGACCTTCAGGTAAAAAATGTTGTCACTATGACGTCAGAACGTCAGGTAAAAAATGTTGTCACTGTGGCCAGTATCAAAGCGTCAGGTAAAAAATATTGTCACTGACGTCAGACCTTCAGGTAAAAAATATTGTCACTGACGTCAGACCTTCAGGTAAAAAATATTGTCACTGACGTCAGACCTTCAGGTAAAAAATGTTGTCACTGACGTCAGACCTTCAGGTAAAAAATGTTGTCACTGTGGCCAGTATCAAAGCGTCAGGTGAAAAATGTTGTCACTGTGACGTCAGAACGTCAGGTAAAAAATGTTGTCACTGTGGCCAGTATCGGCTTCTGGCAGCAGGGACACAGTACCAGCAGTCTAGAACATTCCTTGCAGGCAATCAGCTCCCCACAGGGCAGGAACAAATCCACGACAGGCGCTGAGCTGCATATTTTACACAGCAGAGACTGGTTTAGTTTCTCATTTTCTTTTTTTAGCGCCATTAGAACTGCATCTGTGCATTCGACCTTTCAGAATTAGTTTCATATATGCACAAATAACAAGTTAAAATAAATAAATCAGGCAAGATGTTACAAAAAAATGAAAAAAATCAAATTTTAAAAAATATATCAAAATGCTAGTTTAAACCGTCTCCCCTAACAACAGGTTTGTTTGAACTAGGAATGTGTCGTTAGCACCAAGCATGTCGGTCTGACCCCCCCCCCCCAATCACATACCCCACAGTCTGACCTCTGAGGCCGAACTTAAGACTTACATGTTTCTATAGCTGATCTCTATCCCTCCACCACACCGCCCCTTAATTAGATAAAACACCTGATAAAAGACAGGTGTATGACTTACCTTGTTGGTTCACCAGGTCTTCAGTAGAGCGAGACGCCGCGTCCTGAAGACGCCTCTCCGCCTGGATGTGGAGGAACGGACACTGGGGTCTGTGCCTCTGGTGCTCCACGAAGATGTCGTCACCTTTCTTCCAAGACCGCAGACCCAGGCCACACTGGAAGCATCTGACACAGTCGGCATAACCTGCTCGTGACGAGAGGGGTTTAGGATTGGCTTGATCTAACTACAGTTGGGGGAGGGAGGGCACTGTATCGTGTTATGGCTTTAGGTGATAGTAATATAATGTGTAGTTTTTGATGGATTAAATTTCATGACCTGACCTGACCTGACATGACATGACCTGACCTGACCTGAATTGACATGACATGACATCACATCACATGACATCACATCACACGATACCACATCACACCACATCATAGTTACCTATATAATACAATACGTCAACCTATTTTCATATAGTCTTGAGGCGAGGTAATGGGCTGATGTTTCCCGTTTCCTAATACCCGAGATGTATTACTGAACTTTGATATTGTGTGTTGCTAATTTGGTTAGACTAGCATTTAATACAAAGTATTTTTTTAAACGTTGATATTTTTAACGTTGATATATGCCCTTAATATATAGAATACTCAGATAAATCCACAAAAGTGTCTGAAAAATTAAAGTAATTAGTTCTATACCATTAGTAGCCCTAACATAAAGAATGTTGTTGTTACATTATCTCGCGGTAATTTTTTAAAAACTCTGGCAGGAATGGTCTAGGCAGAAGTCAATGCTTCACCACAATACCCCAACATACCAGCATAGAAGAAGCCAGCTCTAGCCAATGTAACGGGCCGGTGGATCTCGTGCGCTGTCCATTTGTCGAAGCTGTGTAACCGTCTCTCGTAGGTGACGTAATCCAGATAGCACGGGTGGCTGGTCACCTTGTACACAGGGGACGTAACTGTTTGATTTCCTAAGCTGTTGTCATCGTCGGGAGTTGTCGGTACTGATGGGGGCCTTGGATTGACAATCATTTCTCGGTCCTGTTCAGTTAAGTCTGTGGTTGGTGAAGACATATTTCATCATTTTAAGTACAACTTGTTCGAGAAAAATACTGAAAGTGTCAACTTTGATAAATAGTAAGTATATTTACGTATATTACACCATTTAATTATTTCTTTGGAATTCGTTAATATAAAAATAAGTAGGCTCTATTATTTTATCATCATTTTTCCTTTTCTGCCCAAGAAACAGGGGGCAGATGAAGTAGAGTTTTTTCCCTAACGTGATCCATGTGCCCATCAGAACTGGGTGGATTCAGGAATATACTAGAGACACGATTCCTAGATTTGAACTCTAGACTTTCGTTTAACCAGTTGTAAACTTAACAATTCGACCACGCTGAACCTAATTATAGTTAAGATAACATTAAATACCTTTCATTGTGGAGGAGCTTAATGAGAAAGTGTGATTGACCCCGTCATGGACCCACATGTCCAACACGTAGGATGTCGACTGGATGCCAGATGTCACCTTCTTAAAGCAAATGACAGGTGCACCAGATGACCCCGGGCAGGTGTCTGCTGCATAGAGCAGAACTTTACGCAGATTTTCAACGGGAAACCGAGCTGCCATTAGAGAGAAATTTTAGACATTGAAATTACTCTCTCGTTTAAAATAATTTTTACACAACATTAAATTGGGGAAAAATATGCTTATATCAACTAAATTGAAAATCTGTGTTGTTGAGCCTACAGTAATATCGTAATCTCACCATCCCCAATTTGTAATTACCTATACAGCAACTTCACTATTCCCATATTATTAGCAGACCTATACTCTAAACTCTTTAACTATTAGTAACTATATTTAAATGTTTACACACCAATGAAAACTGTGATAAAACCATCTTATAATCGACCTAACTCTGAATATCACCATCTTAGAATCGCCCTAACTCTGAATATCACCACCTTAGAATCGACCAAACTCTGAATATCACCAGGTACTCACCGACCTCATGGTTGTTGACCCTCGACGTGACCCCACCCTCACCAGGTTTGATCATGTACTTGACCACGACGAAATCACCATACGACACCACCTTCTCGGCCCCGTGAGGGTGGTGTATGATGAACACCTTTTTACACATCGCCTCTTTCACCCTCCTGGGCAGCCTCTCCGCCAGCTCCGTGACGTCATCCCTCGCCCTGCTGACCAGCTGTGTCAGGTTCCGGTCTGACGTCATACACACCAAAATACATCGCTGGTCTCCAGGTATGGGAGAGGGGATCACAGACTGACCTTTGATGACCTTGACGCCGCTAGAACTTAAACCGTTATGAGAAAACTCCACTAAAGCGTTAACAGCATCGCCATCATCAGCGACCAAATTTTGGTTTGTTTCGATGTAAATTGTTTCCTTGTTTTTAGTCAGGAAAGACAGCATACTTTTGTGAAGTTTTCCAGAAGGTACCTCGTTAGGGACAAGTTGAGGTAGGTGGTGTATCAGGGACAGGGACACACATCCGGTTCCAACCTTGAGTCTGGTGTGTTTGGAAGTTTTTGCTGAGATTCTGATCTTGACGGTCAGCGTGGCGAGTAGGGTCAACAACCTGAGGAGGTCTTCGTGTCGGGTTTGTGAAGGGATCTGATCCAGGTTGATACCTCGTACAGGGAAGTAACCGAAGTGGCCAGGATTTTTGTGGCACTCGATCCTGGAGATCGGCACCTCGATGTGCTTCTCCTCTCCTTCACACACTTCCGCTGTACAAAAACTACCTTTTGTAGACAAATTAAAATTTAAAAATTAACACTAGACCTACACGTGATGTGGAATAAAATATCGACTTATTGACAACTAAAAGGGTTATAAATTGTTGATATAATACATTTACTAAATTTTTAAAATAAGGAAACAATAGACACATATAACTTACGTAGATCAGTATTTTGTGGAGCTTCTACAGCCGTGGCGATATGATTCTGCTCTGTTTCTGCAACGTCAGTTGGCGTTTTTGTACCCAGTTGAGCTTCTTGGTTACCCAGTTGAGCAGAAGAGGTTGGTTGACTAGGTTCTTGGGTACCCAGATTAGTTGTAGCTGTTGGTTGACTAGGTTCTTGGGTACCCAGATTAGTTGTAGCTGTTGGTTGACTAGGTTCTTGGGTACCCAGTTTAGTTGTAGAGGTTGGTTGACTAGGTTCTTGGGTACCCAGTTTAGTTATAGCTGTTGGTTGACTAGGTTCTTGGGTACCCAGTTTAGTTGTAGCTGTTGGTTGACTAGGTTCTTGGGTACCCAGTTTAGTTGTAGATGTTGGTTGACTAGGTTCTTGGGTAATCGGCTGGGCAATAGACGTTGACTTTCCAATTCCTGGGGCACTTGAATGAGCATAGGCTGTAGATTGGGTGGACTCTAATGCATGTGACTGTACACACTCTGCCGCGTGACCAGGATATAATGTTACACTAGAGTCAAGTGACTTGTGAGAACCTGACTCATGACTAGACTCTTTAGCTTTATCACATGTCTGGGAATCTCCTTCCTGATTCAAACAATCAGTGGGTTCCCCACTAGACTCATGACTAGATGGTAACGAGCTTGAACTAATTATCAATTTCCGCTCGTCAGGAAAACGATTATTCTCCTTTACTTTAAAGTATTTTTTCCTAAACTCTTCTTGCAAATTTTCAAGTTTTGAACTTAAACTGTGTTCAAATTCATGTCTAATATTGGCGCTAGGTTTTGTTGTTGAACAACTGGCGTTCTCCCAAGACTTTTCTTCAACTTCTGGGGTCGGCGTAAGACTATTATTGTAGAGTATCAAATCAATATCCTGTGTTGGAAAGGTCAAAGTTCGGCAGCCATCTTGATGAACAAAGCTACAGCCCGTCCTGTGGAACCTTGACAGCCGGGGACTCAGAGACTCGCACTCTGGGAGGAATTCCTCCAACTTGTGACAGGCTGCGCATTCTGCACACAGAACACTGCACAGTCGTCGTTTGTAGTAGAACCCGTTCTGGGCGAGTATAACGGGAGACACGTGACCCAACGCCGCTATGTCAGCGCGGTTGAATGTGGCAAGACGCGCCGTGTATGACTGTGCCGTGTCGTGTGTGCCCATCGTCCACATGTGTGGTTCCACATCTGTAACACTCTTTTATTCTTGGCTGTCGTAGAAAGTGAAATAAAAATATATGAACAGACTATACACTCTTAGTCCGTGGATCTTAACCATTTTGAAGGTACAGAACCCCACCAGTTTTATAAGCGCATTCACCGAACCCTTCTAAATAGTTCTATTGTCCATACTGACAAAATCCGATCGTGAATCATTTGAGTCGGGTGTGTGTCCTGACTTCCACCGAACCCCTAATACTGACTCACTGAACCCCTGGAGTTCGATCGAACTCAGGTTAAGAACCACTGATCAAAGATAGCACAGATAGCTATTTTAAACTCCCTTAAAAACGAAGTCGTCCGAGAGAAATAAGTTAAACTGCGACAGTAAAACTCTAATGTCTTTGTTAAAAATATATCAATCACGACTTTATCTTTTCTTAATTAGACGAAAAAAATCCTAGATTTAGGCATGTAATGAAGCAGTTTACAAAGTCGATTATACAGCCGCCATTTTGATTTCATGTTGCTTAGCAACCATGCAACTTGTCAATTCTGTTAGACTTGACGTACCTCTAACACATTTTGTAATTATCCAAAAAATTAAAAATACATAATGCACTTCATAATTATTGTAAATAAGATTCAAACAAACATCATTACATAATTCCTGCATCCTCCGATTTCTAGGAATCAACAGTAGTGGGTAGTCACTGGCGACCAGCATCTGAGGAACCGATACCACAAGCCATATCGTTTCATAACAGGACCACAATCAATACACTATTAATAAAACAACCACAAAACTCTGGGTGCAAACGATACCATTGTACAGAATCTTGCGTCCCAGTCTAGCCAGTTACTTCGTACAATCAATACAGACGAGTTCCTTCCTATTCCAGCTCACAGTTCTGTGTAAACTGGGGAAATTCCGATTTTTTTTACCATTACAGCATCGTGACGTGGCGCTGGAAATAATCGATTGACGACCAGCCTATTTTTTCTTTATGGGTGGGGGCTCTGGGAACTTCCGGGAGGGGAGTGGAGGGAATAGGCTCTGGAAACTTCCGGGGTGAGGGGGGGGGATAGGCTCTGGAAACTTCCGGGGGGGGGGGGGGATAGGCTCTGTAAACTTCCGGGGGGGGGTGGCTTAGGAAACTTCCAGTGGGGGGGGGGGGGGCTCTGGGAACATTAGGAGAAAGGGGAGGGGGGACTGGTCAGGAACAGTTAAATCAAAACGTCTGTAGGTCAGAACTTTAAAAGACTCATATTTACCATTACCCTCCCCCCCCCCCCCACTCCACTTCTTCCCAGTTCTTGTTTAACCACTCAAGTGTAATATCCCTTATTCCCTAATCTGTTTATAATAATCACCGTCACGATTTCCTATATATATATATCTTACATAATAGAATAATTGGTGTCACGTGTCAAAATGCCACACCTATCTCGTTAACACTCGTATACGCAGCGGGCGGCCTATAAGTGACAGCGGGTCATCTGATACTCTATTGAAAGTTTTTAATTCTTTCGGTGATTACATATGTATCACTGCAGTGCAAAGATCTCAACCTTTCGTGTTTAGTACAACTTTGATTCGTAGAGAGATAAAAAGTGTTTGTTTATTTCCTAAATTGATGTAAAATTCTTGAGTGATTTAGAAAATGTTTTACAAACTTCAGTATGTGAACGAACTTTATGGAAAGTAACGTTATATTTGTGGGATATGCGCCGGTAAACTGATTAGCTGGGAATTCTTTAAAATTCAAACTGCGTTTCATATGTAAGTAAATGAGTAAATATTTGTAAACATATAATTTACAGCACACTTTCCCTAATGTAACATGGTGTTTAATTGATATAATGTTTGTTTACATAAACTTAACATTTTATTGATTAACTAGAAAAATGTGATACATGTTCACGATTCTATCGTAACAGTGAGACCTATTTATAGAAATGCTTCGCACTTGATAGGGAATTCCCGATAAATGCGTGGCGCTATTTTAAAGCTAATTATCATTACCTGGCTCTCCTAAAGAGTCTTCCTGTAAAAGTCAGTGGCGTAGCTAGGGGAGGGCGGGTGGGGCGATCGCCCCGGGCGCAGACCCTAAGGGGGCGCCAAAAGGGGTACAGAAAATCGAAAAGCTCATTTTAAGCTGGGATATTGCGACTAGTAAAAAATACCACCAGCCTTTCCGACTGGGGGGGGGGGCGCTTTTTCACCAACTTTAATATACTAGTATTAAAAGGGGAGTGGGGAAACAAAATGATAGTTTGTCCCGGGCGCCGGAATGGGTCTGGTAAAAGTGACTCCTTGATTTTTAAACTTGTGTTCTTTACGTACCACATCTAGGTTTTAAAAATTCTACATCACACATCTAGGTAAAACAATCCTCACAATTCTAGAACAATTAACTATCAAATAACTTCAATGTTTGGTTAGCCTACTAGACTGTGTATATAGTCTTATTGTTGTTGTTTCATATTGCCATTTCTAAAATAAAATACTCGTTTGTTTTGGTTATGAAAATGTATGTCTAAAGAAAGTTACAACTGTACAAGCACGATAATATTTCACTACTTTAGCTACAATTTTAGAAAGTTGCAAATATTCATCAACTGCCAAATTTTCCCAGTTCGTATCGCTAGTGATTCTATTTCATCTGAATACCCATTTCCCTCAAGAGTTTAGTTCACAATATTATCAGCCCACGAATTTCCTTCCTCTGTTCAATGTTGATACAGAAATAAGCTTTTCATTTTTGTGTTGGGTTTGATTTTTTAACATGTTTAATTACATTTTTAAAATGCTGACTACTAAGATATATTTTTCTAACTTGCCTTTTAAGTAAAAGGTTCGTAACAAAATATAACCAAGTAAGTAACTAATTAAAAAACAAATTAAAATTTCCGAGCGATTTGTACACATTGTTTTCATCATTAAGCTACATGCTGATTTACCTTTATACCGTCTCCATTATATAAAGGTTTGATATACAACTTGGCTGTAGTGAACAATGCTGACGAATTCAAGAGATCGTACTTTTGTTGTGCTGCAGAGATTGTGACTTATTAGATCTATGAAATGTAACTAACACTGGATACAACTCTTCTGATACCGAAAGGGTTGTCTCCCTGCAATAATCTAAAAACACAGTGACCGAATGTCCAGACTGGGTATTTATAAACAGGTGAAAGTGGAACGAAAGACAACTTGTGTTAGTTCAACTTTCATAGAGAGAATTCCCAAAGGTCCAGTTTCCTAGAAATTATGGAACTTTGTTCATGACAAATAATAGAATACAGCACACTCTTCGTTAGGCACATCTAGTTAGTCATTCTTCATTAGGTTCACATAACTTAACATTCCTCATTAGGTCAACCTAACTGACAATTCCTTATTAGGTTCACCTAACCGACCATTCCTTATTAAGTCAACCTAACCGACCATTCCTCATTAGGTCAACCTAAGGACCATTCATTAGGTTTAGTTGCTGTCTAATTATAGCTAAGAATGCAATCTAGTAACTTATTAGAATAACCATCTAGGAGTGTATATGTCCCATGATATATATATATATATATATATATATATATATATATATATATATATATATATATATAGCTATAATTAGACAGCAACAAAACCTAATGAATGGTCTTAAGGTTGACCTAATGAGGAATGGTCGGTTAGGTTCACCTAATAAGGAATGTTAAATTTATATATATATATATATATATATATATATATATATATATATATATATATATATATATATATATATATATATATATATATATATATATGGGTGTATGTAATATTCCATATATATTTGATAAGAACGAATATACAACAAAAACAGTTATTTTATGATAAATGCATAAATTAATGTTGTGTTTATTAATTTCAAACATTTAGAAAATACAAAGTTATCACAGATAACATGTAACAATAATCAAGGTGAACACATTGAGGTATTGATTTCTCAATAAGTTTTTAGTCTCTCTTAATTAGAGTAAATTGTGAGTAAAGGAAAAGTACAATTAATTCTGTATTCAAAGTTTTATGGAGATTCTTTCCTGTATCTCTAGATCTATATCATCAAAAAATGATCATGATAAAATAATAAAAAATACTGATTATATTTCCTCTGTTGTATTCTGAGTAAAATACATTCTTCAAAAACAAGTTTTAAATGCAGTTTTTAATACAGTTCAAAAAATGGAAAGTGTGTGCTATAGTAGCCACCATTTAAAAACACACACACACGCGCGTTGGCGCACATACACACACAACAGGTGTTCATGTACATGTGTGTGATATGTTTTTAATTGTCACACCATATCATACTGGTAATAATGTGATAATATTAATACTAATATAAAGTGTTATAAAAATAAACCAATACAAAAATTAAATATTTTAAAATATCACAATTGAATAACGAAAAGTTTTTCTCAAAACAAAAAAAAAAACACGATGAAAAAAGTTCACCAATAAGCAATCAGTTTTCAAAAAAATATTTTTTTAATTAGTCAAAAAATTATAAAGTTTCATTTTAGGAAAAAAAACCAATAGGTTTTTAAAAAAATAATGATAAAGATTTTTTGAACCAGTTGTCAATCTAGCAACACATGTTCGAGAAAACAGACATAAAGATCATGAACACACCCAAAAAATAATGATGAAAGAAAATCTAAAACCATTAAAGGTAAACTAAACAAGGCTTTGATTGTCAAATATCACAGATCAGAACAAAGATATCTGGCGTGATATAACGTCACAACCATCAGTAGGTATTGACATAGGTCGTCACATTTGTCACAGCATCACATGTAATAGGTCTAGGTCGTCACATTTGTCACAGCATCACATGTAGTAGGTCGTCACATTTGTCACATCACGTGTAGTAGGTCGTCACATTCGTCACATCGCGTCTAGTAGGTCGTCACATTTGCCACAACATTACATATAGTAGGTCATCACATTTGTCACAGCATCACGTGTAGTATGTCGTCACATTTGTCCCATCACGTGTAGTATGTCGTCACATTTGTCATATGATCACGTGTAGCAGGTCGTCACATTTGTCACAACATCACGTGTAGTATGTCGTCACATTTGTCATATGATCACGTGTAGCAGGTCGTCACATTTGTCACAACATCACGTGTAGTATGTCGTCACATTTGTCACAACATCACGTGTAGTAGGTCGTCACATTTGTCACAACATCACGTGTAGTAGGTCGTCACATTTGTCATATGATCACGTGTAGTAGGTCGTCACATTTATCACAACATCACGTGTAGTAGGTCGTCACATTTGTCATATGATCACGTGTAATAGGTCGTCACATTTGTCATATGATCACGTGTAATATGTGGTGACGGTTGCCAGAATCGGCCTCTGACAGCTGGGGCAGTGGGTGAGCAGCTTGGAGCAGTCCTTGCAGGCACACAGCTCACCACAGGGCAGGAACAGGTCCACGATGGGCGTGCTGAAGCACACCTTACACTGCAACATCTGCTGGAGGATCGCGTGCTCTTTCTGCAGCACGGCTATTTTTAGATCCGTGTAGCTTGTGACGTCAGCTGTGTTTCTAGCCATGTCAGCATTTGTCATACAAGTAGCACCATCATCTATGTGGTTCATGGGGTGGATATGTAGAAATGTCATATACATATATATATATATATATATATATATATATATATATATATATATATATATATATATATATATATATATATATATATACATATATGTATATATATATATATATATATATATATATATATGTGTGTGTGTATATATATATATATGTGTGTGTGTGTATGTGTATATATATATATATATATATATATATATATATATATATATATATATATATATATATATATATGTATATATATATATATATATATATATATATATATATATATATGTATATATATATAATATTATATATATAAATATAATATTATATATAATGCATATTATATATAAATAAGGGGGTTACATATCATTTATTAAAAGATCAAATGTCAGAAAGATGTGGGAATTAACATGGCAACTAGAACAATATATTCTACCTGTTGCACCTACCTGTCTGCCCCTCATGTGTGAGCTGACCTGACGTCAATCTAGCCATCAGGATCTCCAGGTACTGGCATGTCGCTCTGTGTTTCTTGTGCTCGGTGTGCACGTCATCGCCTTTCTTCCATGACCTCAGGCCGAGGCCGCACTGGAAACATCGGACACAGTCCGAGTAGCCTGCGGGTAGAGAACACTGACCTGTGGTCTAGTGGTCACGTGATGAAGTGGACATGGCGTGTAAAGATTTGTTTGTGTGATAAACATTTCATGTAAAAGTACGCGGGAAACGATGTATATGCTACCAGTTTACTCCTGATCTAACCATGCTATATTTGATAAAACTGTTTTGCTTTGATGATAAAAATTTAATCTACCATTTTTAGTTGCTAACTTAAGAGCATATAATCCTCATGTTCACCGTAGCTTTCATATTCTAACAATTTTGTTGTGTTGAGATTTTGAGTTGTGTTGTGATCGGGTAACGAGTCCTAAACTTACCATGACAATCAGACTATTTTGAGTACTGTGACATGTCAACTTTTAGTGGTTGTCATTAGATGGGGAAAATGTCATAGAACTGTTTTTGAAAAGAGTTCCGTGGCTTATAGTAAGTGAGAGACGTCTGTCGTTTCTGTCTTTGTTGACGTACTGTCTTTGTTGACGTGTTTGTTAACGTGCTGTCTTTGTTAACGTACTGTCTTTGTTGACGTGCTGTCTTTGTTGACGTGCTGTCTTTGATGACGTGCTGTCTTTGATGACGTGCTGTCTTTGTTGACGTGCTGCCTTTGTTGACGTGCTGTCTTTGATGACGTGCTGTGTTTGTTGATGTGCTGTGTTTGTTGACGTGCTGTCTTTGATGACGTGAGGTCTTTGTTGACGTGCTGTCTTTGTTTAAATATCACCCATACCGAGGTTTTATGTTTACACTGTTAACAGGTAAACTTTTACTACTCGCAGTTCGCTATTAATGAAAATGGTATAGGTGACTTAAGTGTTGGGGGGGGGGGGAGGATTGAACTTGTAATTAAAACCTGGTCAGGATATAGAGCAAAATGTGAAAACAAACATGACATGGGTTGATTTTGTTTTCAAACTCAGCCAGAAGCAAATGATACGGAGAGTAAGCAAACAGGGTGAGACTGGGAGGTAAATCAAATATGAGGGTTATATGGTGCAGGTCTAAGTGTGTACATCAGAGTTTCTTCCAGGCATCTTTTCGGAGGGGCTCTGACACCCCCCCCCCCCCCCGTAAAAAGTCTACCGCCCCCTCCTCCCCCACACCCGAACGAAATGGAATATGCATAATATGCATAGAAAATATATACTTTACCAGTCTCCGCCCCCCCCCCCCCGCCCCCGCGGAGAAAAAAATCTGGAAGTAACACTGGTGTACATGATACAAGTATAAGCGTGTAAATGAGCGAAAGGGTAGAGAATTAATCAGTGTGCAAGTTTACATGGGTGCATGCTTTACAGGTCATAGACGTTTGTATGTACCACCCCATCCCCTACCCACTTAAATTGACTCCACCCCCCTCCTCACTAAAAATTACCACCCTGCAATATTTACAACAAAGTGAAATTTATAATTAAGAGATCTTTTAACATCCGGCACTTAGATCGTGTAAATAACTTTTAATGACGGAGCTGTTGACGGTCCAACTATCCGTTAAAATAAAAGTGACCCCCCCCCCCCGCCACCCTCCATCTTTTCTTGAAGCGAACAAATCCAGATGGAGACATCTCGGTCAACAAACCTGACCCACCCCTCACCACGTGTTTTACTCATCTGACTGTTTATTCCATGTGAACACCTTTCATCAGATTTACATTTTATCAACTTTTTTATCTCGTTCAAACAACAAAATACTTTCAAAACCTAACACGACACAGTGGAAAATCGAGCACAAACCCACGACGAATATACTTAGTAAGTTCAATATAAAAAGTGCAGTAGCAAAGAAAAAAAAGAGGAGGAAGATTGTTACGGTAGAGATCGATGTTATTATTACTATCAACCACCTGAATCTTTCCCTTTCTATCTAGATATCAGCAGTTGATATTCGTATATTAATAGCACTCCCCTTCTCTCAGCTAATCTGGCTGGCTAGTGCCCGACTCTTGCTTTAGACGAATGTCAGAACTTGGGGCGATACATTTCTTGTATCCGTACACCCAAAGATGTACATACAGCTACGTTTATTGGAACCTAAAGTTCGTTGAAGGCGACGTTTGTTAAAAGAGATATAGGCCAACTGTGAGAAGCACAACACTAGCGTCTACTGTTTGTTAGCATGCTGGAAACAAGGTGATTATCATATAGCTAGACTCTAGAACTCAACAGAGAAACAAGGTGCTTACCTTACAGCTATAACCTAACAGAGAAACAAGGTTTTTACTTCACAGCTAGATTAAATAACCCAACAGAGAAACAAGGTTTTTACTTCACAGCTAGATTAAATAACCCAACAGAGAATCAAGGTGCTTACCTTACAGCTATAACCTAACAGAGAAACAAGGTTTTTACTTCACAGCTAGATTATATTACCCAAAAGAGAAACAAGGTGTTTATCAAATAGATATAACCTAACAGAAAAACAAGGTTATTACAGTACACTAGATTATATAACCTAACAGAGAAACAAGGTGTTTATCTAATAGATATAACCTAACAGAAAAACAAGATTGTTTACAGTACATTAGATTATATAACCTAACAGAGAAACAAGGTGTTTATCTAATAGATATAACCTAAAGGAAAAACAAGGTTGTTTACAGTACACTAGATTATATAACCTAATAGAGAAACAAGGTGCTTATCTTATATCTATAGCCTAACAGAGAAACAAGGACGGGCAAGCATTGCATGAGAAAATCTGGTTATTAAACATCATGAGTGAGCTTGTAGCTGAATCTTCTTTGTGCACAATTCTAGAGTTACCTGCATAGAAAAAGCCAGCTTTGGCCAGAAGATTGGGCTCGTGGATGTGGTGGGCTGGCCAGGTGTCGTAGCTCATGAGTCGTTTTTTATACAAGACATAGGCCGGGTAGCACGGGTGACACGTGACTTTGAAAACAGGTGACACAACTTCTTGGTTACCAGGATTATCTTTGTCTTCCTCGTCTGGAGTTGTCAGCCCTTGCTGGAGTACTGGGTTCAAAATTTGATCACGATCCTCGCTGGTGAATTCTGGAAAAATTGCTGATCGTTTTACCGTATACATATATATATATATATATATATATATATATATATATATATATATATATATATATATATATATATATATATATATATATATATATATATATATAAATGGCAACCATTTAGGTGTCATTAATTGTCTGAACAAAACTATTCCACCATTCCCTATTTGAATTCTCACTGATTTTGCTCCTTTATCCGGTCTATTCTGTATTAATCCTGTTATCAAATAGGAAATATTGTAATATACTTCTAGTTGTAATAGATCCCAATTACCTTTCAATAGCGAGGCACTGAGTGAGTAGATTGTGTCCAGACCGTTGTGCACCCAGGTCTCCATCTTGTAGACCAGTTGACCGGTACCTGACCTGTATCTCCTGAAGGTCAGGACAGGTGCGCCGCAGGAACCTGGGCAGGTGTCCGCCGCGTAGAGAAGAACCTTGCGTATGTCGCCGTCTGCAGTGGCCCCTGGGAACATCAGACAACGACAAAGGCTAGACAATTACACAGCTGTAGATGCCGTTACTAGCGAGGTGTATGTAGAACACAGGGGGGGGGGGGTATACTAGTAGCCAGAGTTTATTCCAGGCATCTCTTCGGGGGTCCCTGCCCCCCCCCCTCTCCCCCCCCGAAGAAAGTCTACCGCCCTCCCCCCCCTCCCGAACGAAATGGACATTATATAGAAAACCTATATTTTTAGCAGTGTCCGTCCCCCCGGAAAATGTTGTCCGCTCCCCTCCCCCCCCCCCCCCGAAGAAAAAAAGTCTGGAAGAAACACTGCTGTAGCTGTTACAGTAACTCTCAGCCTGGTTGTTTGTTGTATGTTTGTAATACTTCATTGATCACTGTGTTAACAATACAGTAAATTTGGTCAATGAAAAAGGAAATACGTTTTTGAATGTAACCACATAATGTACAGTTTTCAAAGAATCAAAAAATGAAATAGCTGTGCTTAATGGAGTTCTACTTCAGAGTATCAGAATAATTTTAAGAGTAATATAGATGTTAGTGCAAGCAATAATATTCTAATACCAACATTTGATGGGGTTATATAGAATTACATGACGCTGACACAAACCTTACCTAACTGGCTGTTGTTGATTTTCACCAAAGTGACCCCGCCCTCTGTACCAGGCTTCAGAGCATACCTCACAGCCACATAATCTCCATACGACAACACCTTCTCGTTGCCATGGGGATGGTGAACTAGAAACAGTTTCTTTGTCATGCACTCTTTAACTGTACTCGGCAGCTTCTCGGCTAGTGTCGCGATCTTCTCTTTCGTTTGATTCACCAGCTGAACGGTGTTAAGGTCTGACGTTTTACATACTAAAATACATCGGTAATCTCCGAAAATCGGTGAGGGAATTACCGAATTTCCTTTGATGATCTTCACGTTTTTTCTATTCGGGTGTTCAAAGAAGAATTCAACATGAGCATGCACTGCTTCTTCGTCATCAAACACTAGATGGGTGCTAGTGACGATGTAAACAAACTCTTTGTTTTTCTTTAAAAAAGACATCCAGGATTTCTTAGAGGTTTCCGTTGCATGAAGTTTGTCATTCGCTGGACCCGTGAAACTTTCCAAGGGTTCTAGCAACACGCATCCGGTGCCAAAGTACGTGCCTTTAGGGCGTGGGTTGCTCCGGTGTTGACTAGTATGGGAGACGCTGATCCTGACTGTAAGTGTTGCCCAGTGTCTCAGGAACTCGAGAACCTCTGGGTGCCGTGTCTGGGATGGGATTTGTTCCAGGGTCAGTTGTCTGACCGGGAAATAGGCGAAATGTCCAGGATTTTTCGGGCAGGTAACTCTGTGGACCTCTCCTTCACTGGAGGTGTCGCTGGCCTCTGCCACTTCAGGAGAACACACACCCTCGTCAACTGGTGGGAAAGTTCAAAGGTTAACATGTCAAGTATTATCACGGAGGGGTAGATGTGGGGGGGGGGGGGCTCATCATTTCGTTACGTTGGTGCTGATACACGACAATGCTATTTATCACTGCCTTTGGTTTTCTAATTTTGTAACTTTTGTTCTTTTAATAATTGTAGCCCGAATAAGTCGTCCCAATACAAGGATCTGTCGTTTTTCTATGAAGATGTGATGTGGCTCTAATATCGTATTAGTTAAATAACAAAGGTGATTTTAGTGCCAAACTGAGTCGTGGTTTGTGTTATGGAGATCGCTCCAAGATATTAGAAATAGTAGGTTTAATTGCACATCGAAAGGGTATATTACTTTATTGAGGGCTTTGATGTGATATACAAATTATTATGTTGTATCAAATATTCGCATCCGACTAAACATTTAATAGCCGTAATTTAAATAATAATAAAAAATAAACGTACTAAATATGTGCGTCAAATCTCGTTCTAAATGTTTTGTTTCTGTAGTTTTTCTTTCACTCCCTGAAACATATATATAAATTATATATATATATATATATATATATATATATATATATATATATATATATATATATATATGATCGTACTTTATTTTATACTTACTTTATATATATATATATATATTTATATATATATATATATATATATATATATATATATATATATATATATATATGTTATACTAACTTATTACTGTAGATCCTCGACTTGTGTTTACTTCCTCTTGTGTGTTTCCTGGACCAGCTGAGATGCCAGCCGCCATTACCATCTCAGTTCCAGACGCACCTCTTTGTATTTCATCAAGTGGCTCCTCTGTCTCCCTATCATGGGGTGTGTCTCGCTCTGTTCTATCATGAGGTGTGTCCATGCTATTCACGACTATCACATTCTCCTGATGTACGTGTCTTGGTGAGGTTGGTGTTTTATCCTGTGGTGTCGTCATCACGTCATCTGACCATGTCTCTGTACTCTCTTCTAACGACGTCATCGACCCAATGACCGGGTGGTCTGTGGGTATGTTGACCTCTAGGTCACGTGCTGTGTGGTTGTTGCCTGGTGTGTGGGCAGACCATGTGACACTGTACGGCCCACTCTCTGCACGTGACGTGTAAACACAACCACTGGCGTGGAACTGTGGCAGGCACGGCTCCTGCATGGTGCCAGCAGTTAAAAATTCCTCAAAGTCGAGCTCGCGACCGCAGCTTTCACACCTGACCTTTGACCCCTGACCTGTGTATGAGAACCCCTGTTGAGCCAGTTTGAGCGTCCATATTTCCATAGACTCCAGTAAGGACTGGACATCTCTGTAGGTCACCAACCGCTGCATCTCACTTGCTGTCCAGTTCATGCTGAGTTCGAGTAGGACCGTGTGTTGCTATGGTTTTAATAAGGTGACCTAACACAACTGCTTCTATCTACACTATTCTCGTCGACCAGGAAATGTCAATCATTCAAAACGAAAATAAATCCCTGAAATCAACAAACGGGTATTTTAAATTTGATTCTTTAAATACATGTACAGTAAGTATAATACAATATAATGAAATAACTAATAGTAGTTGGTGTCATTATATTCATGAAAAAAAATGCATAACTGAATGAAAATATTAGCATGGGGAAGAGACTGCTACTCCTGGCTACACCTCTGAAATACGACAGTGATGAATATACATATAACGCTGATTTTACGTATGAATTATCTAAACGCAAGTGTTAACGCAGTTTTTTCCATAAGGGGAAATAACCATGACAGAGCGATTTAGCAAAAAATATTAAATGAATTGTTTCCCTTAATCTATATACTTGAAAAAATGTAATACATTTGTAACACAAACATCCAGAGTGACTTATATGCATATTATTGGGGGAGAGGGACGAAATAGAAAATCATATTATTCTTTAGGATTTTTATGTAATCGTCAATTTGATGATATCGAAACCGTTTGAAATATTTATGAGTGACGGGTATTGATGTAATGTAAACACAAACTTGCGTAGCCTACAAGTTTAGTCTCGGTAAAACGAGCAATAACTTCTTTAAACGTTCAACCCCCCCCCCCCTGTTTTTTAGAATCATCCCCAAAGCAGAATAAAACGTTATCCACTAATACTAAATAGTGTTTTATATGTTAGCTAGTCTTAGTCAGGTGTCATCCACAAAAGAGTTCACTCTCTTTTGGGGAAGTTTACCCCCCCCCCCCTCTCCTCACCACACACTGTCAAAAGTCAGACCCCTCCCATACCCCAACATCAAAAAATTATGAATGCCCGCTCCGTACCCTAAGACATCGTTTATGATTTCCCCTCAACACTGACCACATTTTCTTTTTTACTATTAGTTTTTAAAATACATTTTAAAATAAAGTGTGACCACACTTCCTGAAACTAGACAGCGTCATTAAAGACCGACCACCCCCCCCCCCCCCCCCCACACACACACACAGACACACACACGCGACCCGTATAAAATTTGTATTTTAAATAACTTGTTGCTTACACCTTTTTCTTATCATCTTTAAACTTGCTGAGTTTAATGAAATAATGTAATGGACGAAACGTGCGTCTGGGCTAGGCCATGAATATTTGATTATTTCAATGTGTGGGACCAGTACGATACAGGCTGTAACAGAATAACAGCACAGGGAACACACTAGGCCGGTAGCCCAGTGGACCAGTACATTCCCTTCACAGCCTCACAGCTGCTACACAGATGATGAACGAGTAAATTCTTTACCAGAGCGTGTAGTTTTTTTTTTAATAATGGTGAACTTACGGTAAAGTATTGCAAACGAAAGACGTTAGATACTCGGATAGCTACAGAACCATCTTGACGAAATAAACAAGCTAGCGTTTGTTACACTGTTGAAATAGCGAGCTCACAATAAGAGGCTTCTGATCTGTTCGTCTCCATCTTTGTTTACTTCGTTATGTTCTATAAATAGAAGTGATTCAGCAGTCAGTTATCTTGTCATGATTATTAATTAATCGATTTTCCATAGCAAAGCTACAGTTCATAATATTAACTCGGTTGCTCTAGTTATATTCTGTGCTACTTCTAGGGAAAAAAAGCCGAATAAAGGAAGAAATAATGATAGTCTTGTGACAATGTAGAAGAAATCGTATTGAAATAAAAATACTTTAAATATGTATCGATGCTTTTTACAAATGAGTATATCGATTCCCGATATTTTTACGTAATTTAAGGGATGAATTCACCACTTCGGAAATTCCCGAAATTAGTTGTTAGGCCTATATGCCAATGTGGTAAAAGTAACTCAAAATTATTTCTTAAATTTAAAATTCCTCATTTTACATTCAGATGTTTTCAGTTGGAAAAATTTATAAAATGTCATGTTTATTACTTTTAAAAAAAATTAATTCCAGAGTTATATTTCTGTTAGATGTAGATCTAAGAGCTATAGTTATAAAAGCATTTTTAGTTGATCTTTGCCAAAACAGTACACATACGTCATTTAGGCGCCGCTGTGCTTAAAAAGATATATATACATATATATATATATATAAATATATATATATATATAAATATATATATATATATATATATATATATATATATATATATATATATATATATATATATATATATATATATATATATATATATATATATAAGTAAATGCAGGTCGATACATGCTTTAGATTCATGTTAGCTATATATTTATATAAATTTATATACATAAAAATGTGAGTGTGTGCGTGTGTGTGGGGGTAGGGTGGTGTGTGTGTTAATATATATTTTTTATATATGCTATATAAATACTATTCTTAAACCTTTCTATTTTTCTATATAATAGTTTACTTCATACATTTCACGTTACCTTTGTTTTAAAAATGCGATGAATGAACGAATCGTTGACATGAAGCCTTCATTGAAGGAGTGATCATTCACAATATATTTTCTTAAATTATCACTTCACCTGCACACGGCACGAGTGGTTGTGCTTGTGTCACGTGAACGTTGATCATTCACCGAGAACTGAGGCTTCTAGTCTTGTTTTATATATCACTTCTAGGCTACTTAAAATCAACGCAATATAAATGCTATTCCTTATTACAAAATTACTAAAAAAAACGCCCAAAACTATAGTTTTTTATCTGAATCATTTCAAGTCTATTAGTCAATTAAATTATCGTCTGCAGGTAATTAGGAATGAGTAAAACGATTGTTATAATTTGTAATAATTTAAGGTACCAGAGTTTTATTAAGCGAAATATGTGAACGTCATTGTCTCACTCCCGTGTAGTGGAATGGTGATTTATACACTCACTCTCACGTTAATCTAGTCATGTGATAAGTGGTGTTCGTGTTAACATCACGTGAATGCTGCCCTCACTGAGCATGCGCAGTGCGAGGTCGTTCTCATGTTGCCAGCACTGGATTTTTACTAAGTTAGTCAGACAGAGGCGAAGCGAGGAGGGTGGGGGGGGGGGGTGGTACAGACCTCACCGGGTGACACCAATTAGGGGTGGTGACACCAAGGCAAAATAAAGGCAAAATATGTATTTTAAAAAATGAACATTTCCATTAAATAAATGATTAATTAGATTTAAATAGTCTTTTAAGATCAAAATTAAAAATGCCGACAACACAACTTTTGAAATGTTTTAACACATTGTAAATTAGTTAAGTTAAAAAAAACCTAAGAGACAAAAGTAAATAACGAAAAGCATAAGCATTATACAGCGAGAAATAGATAAATAAAACTGGATCATTTGTCTTATTGACACATTATGACGCTTTTCGTAGGCTATTAAAAGAGTTGCCAAAAGTTTTGATACATAGTCATTTTTTCTCTTCTTTTTATGAATATAATTTCAACGATACCAAAAAAAAGTTTTGATACATAATATATTAAATTATAATAATTTGGTTACAGGTATGGTGTACCCAATAATAGGTAAAGATCTTCTAACGGATTTAAACGTTGTAAAAAAGTATTTGGTCGCTTCGTTACTCGTTTTCCTATACATTAGAAAAATTCAACCCAAAAGTCCGTAGTTTCAAAACTAACTAAATTACATCCAGAAAATAAAGATAGTTAAATATACATGTGTATATAAACACATACTTACAAGTGTATATGGCATATATATATATATATATATATATATATATATATATATATATATATATATATATGTATATATATATAAAGCCTATATACATACATGTATAGTCCGGGAGGGATTGGGGGATGGGATGAGACCAACTGCAAAATTTAGATAGGAACAATTAGTGACACCAGACCTATCCAATTACTTACCTATTTGCCACTTTAATTAATAGGTGGATTAGCATAATGTTTGTACCAATTGACGCCATTAGGCAAAGTGTGACAGGGGAAGGGGTGATACCACTGCAACTTTTAAAGACAAACAGATCAGAACGAAATCCACCGCCCATCGCAAAATACATCAAGAGAAAAAAAACTATATTAAAAAATACATACAAGTCTATACATGTTTATACAAATGTTTATGGGATATATTTAAGTGAGTATATATATATATATATATATATATATATATATATATATATATATATATATATGGGATATATTTAAGTGAGTATATATATATATATATATATATATATATATATATATATATATATATATATATATATATATATATATATATATTTATTTATTTATTTATTTATTTATTTATTTATTTATTTATTTTTAAATTAATTATTTAATAAAATTATTTTTTAATATTTTATTTTTGTATCTATATGTGTGTGTATGTGTGTGCGTTTGTGTGTGTTTCTTTTGAGGTTGGGTTGACACCATGAGGTGACACCCGCCCTAGCGAAGCCACTGTGCACATCTGCTGACTCATGAGTTACCTGATAATTTGCTTAATGCTTATGAAAAGAAAATGGACGCACCTAGTGTAAACAGTTGAACTTCGGTAAAGCCTCGAACTTAATAGGAATAAATCGATCAACAACTAAGGGCAACATAGACATAAGGCTTCCACAAAAAATTGTACACTAAACTTGGAATGTGCTGAACACAATGTGCATCTACTGTTGTCGTCTCTTCCTCCGTTCTTCTATACTCTATCCCTGCGCAGCCTACGCCTATTTGTTGTATATACTTTGTATTCTTTTTTTCTCTTGCAAGCATGGTAAATGGTATTATACCTCGTTGATGGTGTTTATGTCATTAATTTAACTGAAACATATAATTAATAACAATTTTAAAATTATAGAAGACAGTCGTTGGTTATTTTACATATATATATATATATATATATATATATATATATATATATATATATATATATATATATATATATATATATATATATATATATTCTTTTATGCGATTTTTAATAAGAGTTTCTTTCAGGCATCTCTTCGGGGGAGGGGGGGTGGCTCTGCCCCCCGAACGAAATGGAATTTAAATAGAAAATATATACTTTTATCAGTGTCCGCCCCCTTATCCCCGGAAATTTTTGACCGCCCCCCCCCCCCTCCCCCCGAGAAAAAGTCTGGAATAAACACACTGTTTTTAATGTGAAATATTTAGAAAATAAAATTAAAATTAAAACTATAATAAAGTAAGGGACATAACTCAATAACTCATCAGGAAATGTTATTTAGTGAGTTATTGTTCTTACAATAGTAAATAGGAAATTCTGTATAAAAATGAAGACATTTTTTTAAATTGTGCATAGGATAGCAAAAGCGTTGATATTTAACATGTTTTAGAATATATTTCTTTTGTCCTTTATTTGTAACAGTTTAATTTCAATAAAATACCTTCCACTTTTGCAGAATTTCAAAAAATAATTCATTTATTTTTTACAACTGAAGGGGGCACCGGCAACACTATCCGTGACAAAAAGGCTGCGAAGAATAGGCCCCTGACAAAAAAATACTGTCAAAATATCCCCCATAAAAGTGCCCCAACATACACTGACAGCCATATCCTCCCACGAGGTTTAGGCTCCCGACAAAAGAAAAAAGCTCATATGGGCTGCAGACAAATCAATCGTATGGTCACTTGTGGCAAAGTCCTAACCATTTGATTTAACTCACCAACCACGCGCACTTGTAGCTCCACTTTATCCATAACGATAAGAGACACTAATTTTTTTTCTTCAATTGTTGTTTTTTTATTAACAAGCGTGAGCCGACATAGAGCTAAATAATTTGAATTATTTTAAAGGTGTTGGCTAATCTAATTCTGATGAGTAATTAAATTACTTTAAAAACAATGTAAATACCATTGAACAACCTGGCTTTTAATGGAATCATTTAAGTCTCTTAATCAGTGTATTCATTTAGTATGTTGTGTTGATTAATAATGTATACAATTTGTTTTTTTCTATGTTATTTTAAATGCATCGGATTTTTAACTTTAAAGTTATTTCTTTGCTTTGTAACTAACATCGTTTGCCGTGTAGTAAAGAACATTGCGTTTTCACCAATAACTATTTTATAAAATATTTTTCACAAACAAGTATAACATTAAAATATATAGGCCTGTTATTCACAGGTAACGGGTACCGACATTGATATCAATGTATCTTGACACGATTATGTATAGCTTCAAAGATGTATAGTTTTAATTGAAGCGTTTTATATTTAAACAGGCTCTTGTTCTTTTTAGTTCACGCGATTTCAGCGTGCCATCCTAAGTGAACACCAACAGGGCGAGGCCCTCGGCGGAGAATAACTTCGTCATTAAGAGCCGGGACACAGCAACTATTGTGCTGTAATTTCTGGACTATGTACACTGTGGTTATAAAATAATTCAATTTTGATTCAATACGTTGGGTGATACATCGTGTCAGACTTCTTTTAAATATCAATCAGAAACTTGTGAGATTTGAAATGAGAGTCGTATCTTGTTTCAAGTTAGGTAAGTTAGGTCTTACGTTGATTTTCCTTGGAACAAACTGCCACGAGTATTTAACTTCTAATGATGTAACAATTATATATGTATATATATATATATATATATATATATATATATATATATATATATATATAATGGTACACGATTTTTTTTGTAAAATAATGTCGTTTAACATTAAAAGGAAAATAAAGTAGATTTCAATGTGTCTTTTTCTTGATTTTCAGTAGTAAAGTATTTTTGTTTTAATTATTTCAGTTTTAATTTCTTTTAATTATTAAAGTATTTATTTTATTTTAACTACTAATGCATTTTTATTAGCTGTTAACACTGGCAGTGATAGTTAATTTACAATGAGTGGAATTTTGTATAACTTTATGTGATTTTTATTTCTAAATAACATATTTCACTGAGTTAAATTTCAAAATCTGTGAGTGAGTTTGTTTTCATTATAATTTAATTGCTGAATTTATTGAACCGCCCCCCCCCCCCCTCCCCCGGAGAAAAAAGTATGGAAGAAACACTGTTTATTGCCATGATTTATGAGTCTAGTATATTTTGTCATGTAATGCGATTTACTTTTACTTATTACGTGAATATTTGCGTGGGAAATGGGGGATTCCCCTTTAACTCGTAATATACGTAATAAAAATATATTAAACGGGAAATACCATAAAAGTGACGTCATATGCAAACGTGAGATGTTTTAATAATCCAGTGTTATTGAGGGGATTGCGTGCAAACACGTAAGTTGGTGATGCACTCACATTTAATAATTTAAGTCAACGCCTTAGCAATAGGTTGTTATTAATGTCTGGCGTTAATAACATGCTAAATACGCACCTGACATACTGACAAACACATGCATATACACACACACAAACACACTCACAGTTGCGGCTCAAAGTGGGGTTTGCCAACGACACTGATATATAGTGATAAAAATAGTATTTATTAAACCTATATCTTTAATTATTATTTTAAAAAATCAAATGTTTGTTGGGAGAGTTAAAGTTATTTTAGGAAACCTTCATTCATCTTTTATGGGGTGTATACTATTTTTATATTTTAAAGGTTTTTCCTCAAATGGAATGACGACTTTGTTATAGATCAGACGGCTTTTTGATGAGCTGGTGAGGTGGATAATCCGATTTTATTGTTATTTTTGTTTTATTTATTTTTTTATATGGGGGGAGGGATAGTGTTTATACATACACCTGGAGCTAAAAACCTGTGGTCTCACTTATGTCTATTCATTGTTGTACTTGACATGTGCTCCTGTAATATTTTTTTGTTTGAATTGTTTTTCATTATTCGCTGTTGGATTAAATATGAGATTCTTTGGATATTTTTCTTTATCTCAC